TGACAATTGTTATAATCGCTATTTTTGAACTTTTTCAAATTTTTTTAAAGGAAATAGCTAAAAATATGTATTCTAATCATGTTAAATTAAAAATTCAGTGAGGATGTATCATAGATAGGTGACAATTGTCATAATCGCTATTTTTGAACTTTTTCAAATTTTTTTAAAGGAAATATCTAAAAATATATATTCTAAACATGTTAAATTAAAAATTCAGTGAGGATGTATCATAGATAGGTGACAATTGTCATAATCGCTATTTTTGAACTTTTTCAAATTTTTTTAAAGGAAATAGCTAAAAATATGTATTCTAAACATGTTAAATTAAAAATTCAGTGAGGATGTATCATAGATAGACAATTGTCATAATCGCTATTTTTGAACTTTTTCAAATTTTTTTATAGGAATTTTTGAACTTTTTCAAATTTTTTTAAAGAAAATATTTAAAAATATATATTCTAAACATGTTAAATTAAAAATTCAGTGAGGATGTATCATAGATAGGTGATAATTGTCATAATCGCTATTTTTGAACTTTTTCAAATTTTTTTATAGGAATTTTTGAACTTTTTCAAATTTTTTTAAAGGAAATATTTAAAAATATATATTCTAAACATGTTAAATTAAAAATTCAGTGAGGATGTATCTTAGATAGGTGACAATTGTCATAATCGCTATTTTTGAATTTTTTCAAATTTTTTTAAAGGAAATATCTAAAAATAAAAATAGCGATTATGACAATTGTCACCTAAATATGATACATCCTCACTGAATTTTTAATTTAACATGTTTAGAATATATATTTTTAGCTATTTGTATTAAAAAAATTGAAAAAAGTTCAAAAATAACGATTATGACAATTGTCATTTATCTGTGATACATCCTCACTGAATTTTTAATTTAACATGTTTAGAATATATATTTTTAGCTATTTCCTTTAAAAAAATTTGAAAAAAGTTCAAAAATAGCGATTATGACAATTGTCACCTATCTATGATACATCCTCACTGAATTTTTAATTTAACATGTTTAGAATATATATTTTTAGATATTTCCTTTAAAAAAATTTGAAAAAGTTCAAAAATAGCGATTATGACAATTGTCACCTATCTATGATACATCTTCACTGAATTTTTAATTTAACATGTTAGAATATATATTTTTAGCTATTTCCTTTAAAAAAATTTGAAAAAGTTCAAAAATAGCGATTATGACAATTGTCACCTATCTATGATACATCCTCACTGAATTTTTAATTTAACATGTTTAGAATATATATTTTTAGATATTTCCTTTAAAAAAATTTGAAAAAGTTCAAAAATAGCGATTATGACAATTGTCACCTATCTATGATACATCCTCACTGAATTTTTAATTTAACATGTTAGAATATATATTTTTAGCTATTTCCTTTAAAAAAATTTGAAAAAGTTCAAAAATAGCGATTATGACAATTGTCACCTATCTATGATACATCCTCATTGAATTTTTAATTTAACATGTTTAGAATATATATTTTTAGATATTTCCTTTAAAAAAATTTGAAAAAGTTCAAAAATAGCGATTATGACAATTGTCACCTATCTATGATACATCCTCACTGAATTTTTAATTTAACATGTTTAGAATATATATTTTTAGCTATTTCATTTAAAAAAGTTCAAAAATAACCATCATGACAAATGGCACTTTTCTATGGTACATCTTCACTTAAAAATTTTAAAATATAACTATGATGAATATTATAATTTAAAGAAGCTTTAAGTAACTTTCCCGCCGATAATATTAATATATACTAAATGTTATTTGACTTTTGGTCGAAAAAAATGATCTAGATATTGGGTTAGGGGTGAAAAAAGCAACCCTAACTTTAAGTCGTCTTTAAAAAAAAAGATCCATATTTTGGGTCGGATTGAATAAAACGACCCGATGTTTGAGTCTGAGTCAGAAAAAAGACCCAAACTTTGAGTTGGAGTCGAAAAATACGATCTAAACTTCAAGTTTGAGTCGAAAAATACGACCCAAATTTCAAGTTTGAGTCGAAAAATACAACCCAAATTTCAAGTTTAAGTCGAAAAATACAACCCAAATTTTGAGTCGGAGTCGTAAAAAACGACCCATATTTTGAGTCGAGGTCGTTTTTTTTCGGCTTGGACTTGGGTCGGAGTCGAAAAATACGACCCATATTTTGGGTCGAAGTCGTTTTTTTCGGCTTGAACTCGGGTCGAAGTCGTAAAAAACGACCAAAACTTTGAGTTGGAGTCGAAAAAAACGACCCAAAATTTGGGTGAGCTCTGTTCGAGCCGACTCGGCTAAGTCAATTAACAACACTACCTCTTGACAATGAGAGACTGAGCTGCTAGATGAAGATAACTGAGTCTCTTCTTCGTCTTTATTTGTTTTAAAATCAAAATGTAATAATGAAACACCATAATCTCCTACTCCTATTGATATTGTCAAAAATATATAAATAGAAAAATTTGGGTTAAATTTAAAACTATTTACCATCTTCCTCCTCCTGAATGTAGTGAGGATCATTTTCTAGATTATTAGCTTCATTCATATCTTGAAATATGAGTGAATATATTTATTTTAATAATTAAAATTATTATACAAAAATGATAATATTAATAATAAATGTCTGGCTCTTATCTTTTATAAAATAAATATATATGAAATAATAATATATAGGTATTGCCTTATATCAATATCATATAAATCATGAAATAATAATATAAATTTATACTAACTATGAGAAGAATCAGTTTCTGAAATTTCTGATGTAGTACTAATAGTTTGTAGAGGTGATGTTGCTTGACATTTGTTTAACTTTAACTTAATATAAGAGTTAATAACTGATTGTTTCTTCATAATTTTAAAATAAACGTTGTAAAATAAAATAACTGGCTATATATTATAATATAAATGTGATACCTATAGAGAATGTTATACACAACAAAAACAAATGGAAAAAAATGAATGAATGATAATTTAATATTGGGTAAAAATAAAAATAAAACAGGATAGAAAAAATTTTACAAACTAGACATGTTTGTAGAATAAATATTCAAAATTTATTTTAAAAATATAAAAATAATCAATTCTAAATAGACATGATAATTGTAAAAATAATCAATTCTATAAAAAATTTTCAAAAATTTTTTTTTTTGGGGGGGGGGCAGAAAAATTTTTGGGGGCCACTTTTGGGCCCCCCCCCCGCCTGGGGCCTCCCTGTGGCTACGGTCCTGTTCAACTGTTAATGCTAAATTAATATTTAGTGAGTGATATTGATATATTTTTAACACAGAATTTGATTGCAAACTGACAATGAAAATATAATTTATATGTTTTAATCTAATCTAATAATTAAAATAGTATTCATTTAATAAAAATTTAGATAGCATTAATTATTTTTAAATAATAAAATTAAATCTATATATTACTCAATAGAATTATAAAAGAAATCGTTAAGGGGGCAATTAAAATTATTTTTAGTTCAAGAGGATATTAATGAGCCATTAAGAAAAATTTTTTTGCTTCATAGGGCTATTCAAATTTTTTAGGGAGTATCATTTAATAATAATAGATATGATTATGAAGGAAATAAATGAATAACGGTTATGTAGCCATATTAATCATATTGTATAAATTTAAGATTATAAAGAATTTTATTTATATATATATATAATATTCTAAATAATTGTATATTAAAAATTAGTAATGTTAAACGGCTCGATTTAAGCCTGGTTATAAAAACGCCTAACTCAATATCTTATCCAGAAAACTATTTCTCAAGCCTTAAATTTGTGGTCATAGATGGCACAAAATTTGGAGATCGATCAGCGATATGCCGAGGTTTAGTAATATTAATAATAATATGGTCATATATTAATTCATATAAGTCCTAAAATTTAGAATTTAAATATATTTAAATGCCCAAACCAAAGTGGTTAGAATTTTTCTTTTCATCGTGGAAATATTAAATAATAGTAGAACAATTCAAAATAAATAGTAGCCGACTAAAACCGACTCATCAGGCCGACTCTAAAGCAGATTTATCGAGGCGATTCTGTGATTTATATAGCCAATTCATGCAGCTCATTTAGCCGCTCATATGAATAGAGCTTTGCGACTCAAAATCTGACTAAATTTAGGTGTTTTTAATTTTTCGCCCAGCTTAATTTATTTTAATTAGATAGAAATGAAGAATATCACGTAGCTTTGTTGAATCTTCAAAATTAGAGGATTAAAGCAATCTAAATCACATAATTATATTATTTATTTTACATAAGGTTCAATATTTTACATATATTCTAAACTTATATCTTACGCCATTTTATGGCATTCTTCATAAAATATTTTACTGAAAACCAATATTGAGGTATTTGTAATAACGGCTTTAAATTCAAATAAAGTAAAATAATAATATTCCATAAACCATCTGCTAATTATTATTTAAAAAAAGAATGCATAATATAATATTTTAACCATTTAATCTAAATCTTATATTAATATTATTTAACTACTTGAAATGTATTTGTAATTATACCTTATTTACTAAAAAGTATTTCATATACTTTAAAATGTTTTATATAAACATATTCGAAAAATCAAAGCACATATTTTCCTAATATATTAACTTTTATGTAGAAATAATTGTTTTTAATATAACAATCCTTCAGAAAAAAATCTGTCTACACAATCAAAAATCAAGTAAATGATTATTTTTCCAATCTTTAAAAATATTTTTCATGTTATTTTTTAATCTAAATGTTGTGATAAATTTTTGAAAGAAACGCTGACAATTATTTTAATTTTTCATAATCAAAATTACATAACAATACCATTTTTTTCAATATTTAAATTAATCTATCTTATTTAGATATTAGTGATACTTCTCTAAATCAGAATATTTACTTTTAAGGTGAATTGCAATTTGTTTATTTATTTATTTGATTTTTTTATTTAAATGTAAACCTGATGATATTTTAAAATTATAGACAAATAATAAACACACATGACTTCCATTTATACTGATCTACTTAAAAGGAAGTATGATTATAAAACACTTGATAATCTATATCAAATTAGTGTCATGGAAGACAATGAAATTAAAAATATAAATAATAACCAGGCTCACAAACCTGATCTAGACCACAATCAAGATATGAAAATTTTTGAGAACCAAATGGCAATGAATGTTAATGAGACTGGTGATATCCTTTTAGAAACTTCAAATATCAGTTCTATATTAAACATATCTGATAATGATGGTGATAATAGTGTCGATTTTTTGTCGTTTGGTACTACTCTTAAACAATTTACTAATGACCATCATATGCATTCTCCAGAGCAAGTTGAAATCATTGATTTAGATGGTGATAATAATCAAATTGTCAAAAAAACATATGTAGGAAATCAAGATACCATATACTTGATGCCCAACACTGATGATCCATTAATTTATTTGTCAAATAATTTAGGCATGTTTGATAGATCCATTATCACAAGGAAATCCTCGCGGAAAATAAAGAATTCAAAAAAATCAGAAATCAATGAGCCCATTACAGAAACAAACATCAGGATCAAATTGGATCAAATTATAACCAACACCTCAGAATTGCTTCGGCGAAATGTTACAACCCCACCAACTCTTGAAGTTGCTAGTGGAGCTTGTTTTGCTCAACATAATCCTAGACAAAAGAATACCACCAAAAAGAATGCTAATAGTTTAATTGCAGAGAGTGGTGAAATAATGTTTGAAGAAAGTCACCAAATCAAACTTTTGGTTCGATATATGGGCAATAATAATAGGATTCACACTATCAAAATTGATCCCAATCACAAGTTAGAAACCATTTTTGATGAAATAATAAAACTCGAAAATATTGGGGACTATTTGCGTGAAAATAACATAAATATTGACATCACAACAAATGCCTGCCAATATTTGAAGTTGCAATACAAAGGGGAAGATCTCCCTTTCTTCAGCACTGCCCAACACTGTGGTCTAAAATCGGGAGCACTCGTTGAATGCCTATTTAAACCAGGTTCATTATTTATTTTAAAGCATATCCTCAAATTTGCTAAACCCTAGATTGGAGATTCACTCATTTAAATATGTATTTAAATGGCAGGTCACCAGTAGATTTGTACTCATTATAGTATATTTTAATTGTTCCATCAATTTTTTGCCAACATTTAAATGAACTGGCTATAAATGTGTATATTTCTAAATTGGGACAAGATTTAAAGAATTTTGTTATAATAAATCATCTAAGAATAATTAAGTTACAAATATGTTATCAAATGAAAATATTTTAAGGATGGGTTGGTAGTTTCTAACATAAAACAGCCTATGTTTTGGATTGGCAAAACCAATCCAATTTTGAACCAATTTGAATTGCCTTATTTCCTAACACTTTAACCTTAAGAATAATTTTGTTTCTATAGGTAATGTTATATAGATATCCCAAGATGTTTATGTATAAAAAAAAATTAGCTGCCCAATCTGGTGCTAATTCTGAGATGTACACATTTATAATTGTCATTTCTATACAGGTGTTTCATCTGATATTTAGATATATTTTTATTTACAAGCTTTTTATCTCTGAAGCCTATGTCATAAAAAAACTAATATTTTCTAATTCTATATAAAAATAGCAAAGCTAGGGGTATACTGATACCATCCTGTGAAGGTCGATCCGATATGATATCTGAATTTGTAATCTGTAAACATACTAATCTTTTTAATTTAATGCATTACATCTACTCATCTCATATACCTTTTTAATAGCATAACATCTATAATTTAACTATAACATTAACATAAGTCATTTAAATATATTAATACTAATGATCAGTTATAGTTTATATTCATATGAATCTAGAGGATATAAAATATTTTTTTATTGGTTGTGATAATAGAGTTATTTGTATAAACGCGTTAAATCTGTTTTCGTAATAAAGTAATAAACAAAAAAAAATAACGAAATTAAGATGCCATTTTATCGGATCGGATAATTTTTAAAATATTGGCCGATGAACGATATTTTAAAAAAGGCGAAATGTTGCCCCGGATAAAAAATATGGGTACATCCGAGAATGTAAACTATAGGCAAAAAAAGAAACCTGTTTCTTTTGGGCACGACAACATTTGACGCATTACCACATGTTTAAAAGTGCACTTTGTGTTTGTTATTTAGTTACCCAAAAGTTATGGATCTCATTTAAAATGTTCCGTTCCTCGTTGGGAATAATATAAATTCGATTTCTTTAATTACATTTGCAAAATTGAGTTTTATCATTTTATTAAAAAATTATATATATATATGTGTTTAGCGTCAATGTGTTAATTTTTTTTTTAACTTTAAATCATTTTTTTGAGCGCGTTTTTATAAATTTTAAAAAATTTCTTATTTTACTGAAAATGTATGCCCTTCATGTTTGGAATACCTACACTACGAATTTCAGACAACTTTTCCGTGAATTTGTAAACTCCTTATAATTTATATCAGAACTTTTCATATATTTTTTTAATTTAAATTATATATAACTTAAAGGTTAACAGAAAAATTGTCTACAATTCATGATAGGCATTCTAAACATGACACAATATACTTCCGGTAAAATTCGAACTTAAATAAGACGCACTCAAAAAAATGGTTTAAAAGCTATAAAAATAACACATTGACATCAATATATATACATTTCATACAATCATAAAATGAAGCAAAAAATGGATGTTATATTAAAAATATCGGGTTTCGATCTGATACTTATCATTGGCACAGTTCTACCAAAAAAAACCGGAGTCAGCAAGGCATAGCTTTGAATTTGCTGAACCACTATGACATATACGCCTAAAACTCTTTTTTAAAAATTATTTTTATTTATTTACCCTGTTAAAGGTTTTCATAACCCGCCTACCAACCCAAATAACTCGGACCATCTTGATAACGCTCAGTCTTTATTGCCCACCGATCCTGCAGAATTACTGAAGCTTAAAATCCAATACGGTCCTGGCGGAAAATCGTATTACGAAACCTTGATTCAGCCCACGGATAACCTGAACACTGTTGCGTCCAAATTAGCCGCTCATGTCAGAATAAACCCGACGAAAATCAAGTTATTCTTTGACGGTGAACTACTGGAATTTGATTCCGGCTCAATTCAAGATCTCGGATTAGAAGATGGCGACGTTTTAGATGCCGTATTCTAGTTGGTAACCCTTCACTCGCGATAATTGTGGATGGGGCATAGTAGTTTATTAATTATTATTGAGCGCGGCTTATCTTCATACAATACTCAAAATACGAATAGAATATTGTGGCTTGCGGCCTAAATACAATATCTTTAATTTGACATATTAAATAATAAATATTATTCTTTTTTTTCTTCCAGAGTATACTTTTAATAATATAACGTATTTAATAAATTTTCAGCCGTCATTTAACCCATCACCTATGTTGAACAACATACAAAATAATTATTTAGGGTCATTCTGCGTTGCATCAATCATGATTTGATCAACTCTTTTCAATTTTTATGAAATTTTATGTACAAACCAAGACTCATATTTAGCAAAAAAAGTTCGTAGCTTGCTTTACTTTTAGAGATATCAGAAGTAAAAGCATGGAAAATTGCCTTCTTTATTTTCCGGGCTTTTTCACATTTAATAAATGAGTGATTAAATACACGCGTGTAAATAACAAATTTAGTCTTAAATGAGTTACTATAATACTTACTATTTTTAAGAGATAAATTTTAAAAAAAAATTTTTGGCCTCTTTTACCGAGAACATAATAAAATTTGAAGCAAACATTACTACAAAGTATTCAAGCATTCTGCATGAAAACAAAAGATGAGATTTTAATGACATAGAAATCGACATAAGTTCTAAGATCTAAAAATTACTTTCCTAGAGAATATTTTTGGTTTATTTAAGATTAATTAAGTTTGCCAATAAAAAAAAAGGAGCCAATAAACTCCATTGTTTAAAAAAAATCGTCCACCTATGCATGCTTTTAGATTACATTACCTTCTCATTAGCCTTAAAAAATGCGCGTGATGCTCGCTTATCTTATTGGTTGTTTATTCTTGGTTGATATATACATTTTTTTAAATTACTAATAAAAAATATAAATCGTTATGTCCATCTTACCCCGAACTATTTCTAACTCGTCACTAAGGGATTTGTCAATAAAAATAAATTTATCTATATTTTTAATAAAGTTCTATTTACTAAATTTCATTAAACAGTATTTCCTAGATTTTAAAAAAAATTAATTTGATTTATTTTAATTTACATTGTTTCAATTTTTGACAATGTAGAAAATATGTTTAAATATATAATTCTAATCGCAATGTTGTGAGAAATTATTAATTATTCGAGAGTGATTTTAAAATAACTCGCGAAAAACGGGAAAATATAAGTGGAAGACTTGTAGCCAGGGATCCAAACCGAACCTGAACCATTAAACCTCTAAAAACCGGTATTTTTTATCGAACCTAAACCGCTAAAAAATTCTGGCCGAATCTGAACCGAACCGCTAAAATGCCTCTGAACCGGGTCGACCCTCATGATTTTATGCTTATAAAATAATATGTAAGTTATTATTAGTATATTGAAAAAATTTCAATTATTCGAATTATTTTAAAATCATCAATCACGTTTGATTGATAAGTGTCGGTCATAATTTTTGTAAACTTTAGTAAATTGTCATTTAACAACATTTTCCTCTAAGCTTATAAATTATAATGCTTAGAGAAAAATTAAATCCAAAATATTATTATAAATCACATATCATATTGGCAGTGCTGGCTACCCAAGTTAGTGTGGACAGTGGAAAGATGTTTTTCAACAATTAAATTTATACTATCTTCTTATAGATTTGATTTTAGTGGGACGAATTTTGAAAATATATTAATTGTGTGGCTTAATAAAAAAAATTTAAGTAAAAAAAAAGTAAAATATTGTTCATATTAAAATTAATCATTGATATTTATTTTTATATTTATAAATTAAATATTATTTTATGTGCAATTAATAAAAATGTAGGTTTTATACATGTATTTTTTAAATTAATGATAAAATAAAAAAATATTTCCTCTATACATAATTCGGTAGGTTTGAATACAAAAGTGTTCAAAAACCGGTTTTTAGAAGTTCGAACCGAACCGATATTTTATTTTTTTACGAACCGAACCTGAACCTTAAACCGTTATTTTTATCCGAATCTGAACCCGAACCGATATTCGTTTCGGTTTTAATCCCTGCTTGTAGCCATGAGTGAGAAAAACGGCTGTTTTTTAATGGATAAATGTCCTAACCCTATACAAAGTCATAGAACCTTATAATAATCAAGGAGCGATATATTTTATTTTATATATAACTATATACACATCTATATATATTTATGTTATACTATATTATAACTTAATTTTATACTATTTTCGGTAAATAATTTATAAATTAATTCGTTAAATATTATTTTTTTTTAAAAAATGTCTAGAATTATTTAATCGCGCAATATTCTGCCACAATAAGGACTAAATTTCTCCAAGTATAATGGATGTGCAAAATGGCAGAATTTTTTGTTCTAAAATATTTCATCAAATAACGGTCGCCATTGTTTTCCCTATTTCCCGAATCTCGGCTAAGAGTATTAGGGTTTGTTGAATATTGACCTTTTTTGTGGGTGGTGAGATTATCTGAATATTTACTATTTTTCAAAAATATCGATACATAAAACGCCCAATTATATTGAAAGAGCCAAAGTTTGATTTTAAAAAAATGAGATGGGGCTAATACTTTTAAGAATGGCGGTTTAGACCTTTATTTTTATTTGTCAGAAAAACACGAGCACCCAAAACTTATATTTACATTATAACACTTATTGCGTACTCGGTCGTTATTTCGGGTTTGTTGGTATTTTCCCCGGATACCGTATTCGATAAATTTTCGTCACCGGACGGCGCGTATAGGGAAGAACTCTCTTCGCATTCCGACAATCCCTTGTAATCCCAAAAGGCTAAATCGCAATCGGACCCGCCTTTTTATTTTATAAATTAAGGGCAGAGAAATCAACTTGAGGTTTAAGAAAATAAATACTATATTTATATACTTAAAATATGATTTTAGGTTTATTATAAATATATAAGAGGTTATTCAAAAATTATGACATTTTAAACGTATTTTATCAATTAGGTATCAAAAATTAGTCTATAACTTACTAGAAAGACGAATTTTCTATTATTTATATCCAGAGTTGGGCAGTACCGCGAATACTTGTATCTAAGATACAAGATCCTTTTGTATCTTGTACTCAGTATCTTATTGACATTTTTAATAAGATACTAGTATCTGTATCTAAGATCCTTTATTTTGAAAAGAATCTTGTATCTTTTTCATTTTCTTTAAAAAGATACAGATTCTTTTTAATATTCATGTTTAAAACATTTACATATCACACAATGTAACTTTATTTTCTTCGTATTATTTTCTTTATTTTTTCCTGCTATGTTTTAAATATATTGATAACCAAAATTAGTTGGAATTTACAGATCACAAAGATAGATAGATTAAAAATAGCACCAAAACTAAATAAGTAAAGGTTATATTTTATATGTAATATTTTTTGATTTGTAGAATGTTTAATATTTATAGTAGTGAAGATGAAATTATTGAGATAGGTTCTCCTGAGTCAAATCTGAATCTTGAAATTCTAGATGGAAAATTTTATATAGTAATTCATGTGAAAAAGGACAGGGTGCAAGCCGAATATCAAAATTACAAAAGTAAAAAAGTTATTAAAGATTGAACATACTCCTCACAAACTTTGTTAAACATATTAAAGTATAATATACATTTTTATTTTATAATTATTAACATAATAATACCTATAATACTTAAGTCCTTCTTAGATAATTGTTATTAAAATTTTTTATAGAAGATAGTTGATTATCAAATTAAAATCATTTTGGATATATATTTTTTAGGGGTGTACCGATACTACTTTAGATGATCCGATCAGATATTCCCGATATTAAATTGATATCGGCCGATTACCGATTCGATATCATATCTAATTTTGTATTCTGTAAAGATAACAATTTTTTAATTTTTAATATACTTTTTATTAGTATAACATCTATTATTTAACTATACCATAACTTATGTCATATAAATATATTTATAATGATGAGTTATAGTTTATATTCAATTCAATTACAATTCTAAAAGTATATAAAATATTTTTATTGTTAAATCACTTTTATATAATATAATAACATTAATCTTAATATAGGTAAGATTTCTTTTTAGAAATACCAATATTTCCGATTTATCAGAGGTCAGCTTGCGGCTATAGTAACTGTCAATATCACCAGCTTCACTAAAAACAGATTCTGTAGTGATTATCGCACACTTTTATAAACAGAATGCGCAAAAAAATAAGAATATGATAGAATGTTTATTAATTAATTATTATTACTAAAAAAATATACATAAAAATGGATTTCGATTTTATTTATAAAAATAAATGATTTTAGATATAACTATTTTTTTTTCATTTATAACATTTTATTTTTGTTAAAGAAGCCATTTTTATATCGGATCAAATTTTATAATATTGACCTATAACCGATATTTTAAAATGGGTGAAATATCGGCCCTATCGGCACATCCCTAATATATTTTATATTTAATTATTTTAGCAAGTTCTTATTAAAGGAAATATTTAAGCTACAATTGATATATAATATTAGATAATTTTAAAAGGCTCTTAATAAAATAATTATAATAAGGTAGAATTTAATTTTATTAGTTACTTTTATTTATTTATGATATTAAATAAAATTACATTACAGTATTTATTTACGAAATTTAATTAATTTAAAATGCATTAAAGAAAATTGCTATGTAATTAACAATTAAATAATATAATGTTGTACATTATTTTCATATTTTTTATATATAATTAATAATTTTGCTAGAAATATATAAAAAAAATATGAAAAAAAATTTAAATGATATTTATATACTATATATGATATTACAAATGCAAGAATTAACAAGTCATATTAGAAAATAAAACTAATTTAAAAAATACATAAATATCACAAGCAAGTATTGTATATTTTTTTTAGAGATGCCATTTATCCATAACTCCGAATATATGCTATATTTAAAACAACACAGAAAATAACCTGCAAATTCTAATAAATCATTTGATTTAATTTTTTTTCTTATTTGCACATTGTTAACCCCATTAAATATACTACTTTCCCTTCCCTGTTTAAGCTATTAATGGGCAAAAATTAATATTATTAATCCCTGGTTATTATAATTAATTCATCAATAAATTTTTTATTAATTATTGCAAATATTCATTCTTATATGTGTATGCTATGTTCTTCCCAAATAAATAATAAAAATGTATTTTATAAACTATTCTAATTTAAAAGTATCTTGTATTTAAGATACCCTAATTTAGTAAAAGATACAAGTATTTATCTTGTATCTTTTTGATATTTTGAAAAAGATACTAGTATCTGTATCTAAGATTCATTTTTTTTAAAAAAGAATCTGTATCTAGATTTTTTTTTCGGAGGACCTGCCCAACTCTGTTTATATCTATAAAATTGTTTTAGGCATCATTAATTTAAAGCATCCGTTTCTTATACAAAAAGATAACTAATAAAACATCAATTTACCGGATGTCAAGCAGACCCCATCCTTATCGAAATTCAAGGTGTAAACCGGGGCAGTATGGTGATTTAATTGGATAATCAGATGACCTTGAATCAAATCCCACACCAATATTTGACCGTCGGAACCTAAAAAAAGGGGAAATAAATTATTTTATTTTTTGAGTTAAATATTTTACTCGCAACCGAAACTATAAAAGGATGAATATAAAAAATTCCTGAATTTGATCTTATTCTGCTACCACTTGGCTATCATAAAATTTCCACTGCTGAAAGTATTCAACGAGAGGCTCCTTTCGAATTAACTTCTCTCTATCTCGACCTCAACTTCATCATTATCATTGTGGGATTAAAGCCGATTACAAACTCTCCAAATGTAACAATATGTTTCATTTAGTAATGTATACTGCAATCTACTAAAAAAAGTTGAGACCTATAATCATAATGTAAATAATACAGAAGTAAATCAATCAATATCAGACGGCTGGGCTGAAAATCCTTTTTTAAAAAAAATCTGAGTTGGGTTGCGCAAATGGTACCTCTGCAGGTCCTGATCAATTTATATATAACGCCGCCTATGAAATTTCATAACTTTACTTCTAATCGTTACAATTAAGGTTAATGATGCTTACAACCAAGTCAACGTATAACAATTTTCTAAATGCCAACCAAAATTTATTAAAATGTAATAAGACCTTAATATATTATAAGGGAATCACGTGGTCGAGTCCAGTCTCCTATATATCATCCCCCAAGGACGGAATTACCAAATTAAATTAAGAAAAAAAACATGATCATTGCCGGGATTCGAACCCATGACCATCGGATTGGTAAGCCACGCTTTTGTCTACTAAGCCACAGAGGCTTTTCAAAACCACTATTTATCAAATATATATTATAAATATATTTGGTAGTGCCTATCTAAATGAAAATAAACAAAATACAAATTTGATAGGTAATACCTTAAGGTAGTAAGCATCATTAACTTACCATTAGCTATATATTAAGCTGCACTGAAGACCATTTCTCTTTTGCCAACAAGGGTTCAAGATATCTAAATGCAATATCTCTTAAAACATTGGTGACGCTTAATGACCAAGGATCCCGTTTTGTCGTTACGAATATAGGCCTGAATATTAATTTCAATTTATGTACAAGTGCGAAAGATGTCAAAAATTGATTGTCCGGGCGTAAGAGAATTTATAAGAATATTAAAACGTTTTTTTGTAAATTAAAAAGTAGTAGTAAGTAAGCAAGAAAGAATTCCTTTGTGTTATTAAGGTTCATAGGGGTTTTTTTTTGAAAAAATTGAACAACTCTCAAACTATCGATAGGAGAACACAGATGAACGAATTTCTATTGTAATTGTTTTGGTTGGTCGATTGTAAATAATAGCATATTCATTTTTTGCTATTATTTAATTTCGGACCAATTAAAGCATCTTTTGCGTTTTCAATGCTGCTTTTACTATCTCTTCAAACAGTCGCTCACGTCGTCAGAGTGTTTGAGATCAAGCTTTAAAGTTAAATTTAACCTCTTTAATGTAGTCTATGTCGAGACAGAAAAGAAAATATCCAAAGGATTTCTCATGCTAAAAACCACTTAGCGAGTGATAATTTGTAATATCTAAATGGTGGCAGGGAAAGTGTAATATTATATATATGCATATCTGAATATTCCTTGTAATATTGGTCCCGATTATGAATATTTTCAAAATTTCTTTATTTATTTCTTCTTAAGTTTTACTCAATGACATATAATTATACCTAGACTGACGAAGCATTCATTAAAAAAAAGTATACATCAATGAAAAACAGCTAGAGACGCCATTTTGATTACCCATATCATTATTAAAATTTTTTGACGAGAGGCCAATTTATTCCTATGTATGACGCAAACTTTATTGAGGAATTGCCTGATCATCGAGATGATAAGGAAGCAAGTTATCGGTTTAACAGTAATTTTTAACATGAGAATAATTGCTATATGATATACCAAAATGGCGGGTCCAGCTGATTTGCATTTCAAAGACGCTTTTAAATGCATTATTATAATACATCGTCAATCTTATGTCACTGTTTTTATTTATAGATAAACTTCGTATTTATTCATTTATTTAAAAAAAATATATATCCTTCAAATGTCCTTTATTTACTTGCTGATATCAAATGCCTCCCATTTGTAGAATATACCAGGGCTGTTATAGGCGTCTAATAAAAATAAAAAAAATTAAAATGAGAAGAAATTTTTAAAAATAATTATATTATATATGTCCGGCTTCCACTTAATCCCTTCGTTCCAGATATTTTTCCAAAATATTATTTACCAAGTAAAAAAATTTTGTGTCCTTTATTATATTGAATCTTCAATAAATAGTTTACATATAATATATATTGTTAGCATCAATGTGTTTTTTTCGGTAATGTATTATAGTTTTCAACTTTTAAAACAGATGAGAAAATACATATCGAAATTGACACTGTAAACTCTACCTACCGAGAAGGGTTTAACTCTGTTGGCGGCTTCTCTGAAATCCCTATTTCCCAACCTCATAGTATGTTTATCATTCTTTTCTATTTTTAAAAAGGAAAGCTATAAAATTATTATTTTTTTTTAAATTTAAAATTTTGAGTTTAGCTGAAATGTATTCCAGCATGTTTAGAATACCTAAATTATGAATTGCAGATAATTTCACCGATAACTTTTGAGTAATTTATAATTTATAAGAAAAATTAAAAATTATAATTAAGTTCAAAAGTTCATGAAAAAAATTATCTGAAATTTATAGGGTATAGGTATATTCCAAACACGACGGCATACATTTCCGGCAAAATCAGATTTTTAAATTTTTAAAAACGCGCTCAAAAAATGATTTAAACATAACACATTTGCCTGGAAGAAAAAAAAACACATTAATTTTTAAGTTTCATTTCCAGTAAATCTAAATCGATTCAGAAATTATAAAAAAATAATAATGATATAACAAATTTTAAAACTTTATAATAAAATATAAATGCGCCAACTATATCTCCAAGGCGATATAAGGATATATCTTAACAACGATAAAACTATATTATATTAGTGAATTAAGAATGTTTTCTACTCTGAATTTCAAGATGTCAGATAGCCGATGGTATATGGCTTCTTTCGCTTTCATTTTGTCCTTTTTTTAAAAAACTCTTTGCGGCCAAATATGACTCAAAATTAAATATTTTGCTTTTAATTTCTTCTTTCTATAGTCTAACAACATTTCTTCTTATTCACGACCAACTTATTTCGCGCCGATTTGGAAAAATATTTAGCGCATTTTTTTATATAAAATTAAATTATACAAGTAGCATGTTAGGTCCAAGTAAAAATTGCCTAATTTAGGCATTTTTAAGTAGTGTTGTTAAACGGCTTGTTTTGAGCCGATTTTAAAAAACAGCTGACTCAATATTTGATCCAGAAAGTTAATACGCATGCCTGAAAATTTTGCTCATAGAAGGAACAAAGGTCTAGGCATACATTAACGAAATCTCTATGCTTAAGCAATATATTTCTGGCTAAAATATTGAAGTTAGCCGTTTTAAAAAATCGAATCAAAATGACCCGTTTAACAACACTATTTCTAAGGAAACCAAATTTTTTTTGCTCAAATTTAACATGCATACATACTTAATTAGGAAAAAAAAATTAATAAATAGGATATATGATTGAGATCAAAAATTTTTTTGGGATATTACTTACCCCAGAATTTAGAAAAATTTACTTTGTGTCCTGAAAACATTCTAACACAATGGCCAGTCAAGATGTCCCACATCCTAACCGTTCTGTCAGTCGATCCAGAAGCTAGATAATTTGAGTTTGGGTGAAAGGCTAACACCTGTATAGGATAAATAATAAAATATTTCAGGCCGTGCCCTAATAATATTGGAAAAAAATCTCAAAATTTATAAAATTTTTCGCAAATTTAATAAAATTATGAAACATGTCCGAAATTTTCCATTAATTTTTTTTTTTAAATGTTTTGTAAAAAATTAAAATAAAGAAAAAAAACAACCAAATAAAACAAAAAAAACTAGAATAAAATATGAAAAATAACACTGCCACCAAATACTTTAATATTATCTAACTAGTTCATATTTATTACACAAATTTATGAATTTTAAAAGCATAATTTTTATTAGAATTTATTTAATTTCTATTTTTTTAAAAAAAATAATTTTTTTTTTGTAAATGACAAAAAATGATTTAAGAACGCTTATTTAATATTTAAATTAAAAAAGAGCCTATGTTATCAAAATTAATAAATTTACTTATTTAATTTATATTTTTGATATTTTAGCAGCCTTAAATGAGGTGGGGGGGGGGGGGAAGCAATAAAAGATTAATGAAAAGGGGAGAGAGGCACTAAGCAAATGAGAGGAGAAATAAAAAATTTTCTACTATTTATAAAAGGATCTCTAACTAATACTTAAAAAGAAGGCCAATGTCGAACCGTAATATGGGGACCTAAAAGAACCCAAAGGCCAGCTAATGAGTTAGTAGCCACCTATATTAATGAGTAATGACTCTAAGAGAATGATTGGAGGGGGGGGGGCAATTTTATATTATCACATCGATATCGGAATGATGACCCACGAATATTCTGAGCGGTTGATGTTGATCCATGGCCCAAAGTCGGATACTTTTGTCCGCACCGCAAGACGCGAAATAATGACCGTAAGGGCTTTATATATTTTTTTTACGAGTCGGATATATATATATTTTTAAAAAATGCAGATAAAAAGTGTTACTTTTTTTGTTAGCTTTTCCTTACTTTTTTGTTAGTTTTAATCCATTTTTGATAAAATGTCCAACAAATGAAAAGTAAAAATTTATTTGGTCTAATTCGAAAAAAAATTTTTTTTTTATTAAAATAACACGGGGAATTATTTTTTAAAAAGATACGAGATATTATAAGATTAAAGAAAAAAAATTCTATGAAAACTGCATAGAACCCATGTGGATTAATAAAAAAAAATTTAATCTATTAAATTTCTAGGCCAATATTCTGGCGCAGATATAAGTATTCCTTAGGATTGCCATATAGCACTGAAAGTTATTTGTGAGGGCCCCATATCCAAAATTGCCAAGTGTCGTGGTAAATAAAAGAACCCGGTGGACATTGTTTTGGAACGAGTATTAATTTCTTTTGCCGTTTTCAGTTAAAGAAATTGAATTTTAAAAAGTAACCAGTGAAGGTCACCCAAAACAGGTTCAGACCTACCCCATATTTTGAATTTTTTATTCTTCAAAAAAGTGGTCCACTGCATTTAGATCCATCCAGAAAATCAAATGAAATCTATACTAGTTATTTTTTTATATAGGTCTAGATCATTATTGTGCGGGCTTTGAAGCGGTCCGAACCGGTTCTATTTGAACTTCGTAAAATAAAACATAACGATGGAATTAGAGACAAATCTGTAAGTTATTAATAATTTATTTTTTCCGAGTTAGAAAAAAGTTTGAATTTAAAAATAAGAATTTTTTTTGTTAAAAAATAAAAAGGGGAAATATTATATAAGAGCTAGAGGTATACGAAATTTTTATGTGATCCTCTTTCACTGACCATTTGAATAAATCATGTTTCCGGAAATATTTTCATGTTTATTTTTTGATTATCGTTCATAGTTTTAAATCTTGTGGCCTTACTCCCCGATCACTCTTTAGAAAAATAGTAAATTCTGTTGAATGCAATGGGACACGGATAGTTTATATAGGGTTAACAATAAACCTTTGATAGACTTGAGAAAAAACATTTTTTAAAGTTCTAGTACGTTTTCTTGGCGGGTTAACTAACCCTATTCATAGAAATCCGTATCGGATCGGTTCAAAGATCTTCGCCCTATTTGGGGTCCGAGACCATTTCGGGTACAGCTTCGTATGTCGCAGATATGTGAGCGACAGGGACTAACGCTACTTTACAACATTTTATTAAATTTTGTTATTAGAATACCCGAATTTGACATCCCACACCGGAAGCATGTGCCCTTTGTAGCATATAATGTCCTTGTAAACCAAGAGACTCCAGAGCTTAACTTGTAAAAAAAATAATTAAAATGTTTGTCATTTTTATATATTATCCAACTGTAATTAGATATCAAGAAAAGTTTTAAACAAAAATATAAGAAGGTATTACTTGATATTAAAATGTTATATGTTAAAAATATTACGAAAAAGGGTGAAATTAAGAAGAAAAAAACTTGTTCCATCTTGCGAAGATGACAAAATGTATAATTTATCGTGACTTATGCTCAAGGCGGTGATAGCTTCAGTGTGCCCCGTCAGTAACTTGATATCGCTCACATTTTTCTCGTCCATGATTTTGTGTAAAACATCGTCTATATATGTGTACAATATAGTTTGTTTTTTAAAGGTTTGTATTATGTTATTTCTTTTTCTTACATTTAAAAACTCATCCCACGCGCCTTTCTTACCCCACAAGGAAAATGAGTATTTGATGTTCTATTTTTTTATTTTACCATCGCTAGCGTCCAATTTCCCAAGCTCGCTCGGTTGTTTCATGGTTTTGAGCTTTTGAGGAGTCAAAGAATACACCTTGATATTCCCGTCCCCGTAACCTATGGCCAAAATCGAAGAATCTTCGCTTATCACGGCGCTCGTCACACTATGTTAGGTATAGAAAATATTCTTTAATTAATTTGTGTGTTCCACTAATAAGGAGGTATAATGTATAATTTTTTTCCACTGTACCCCCTTTCATCCTTTTCAAATGAAAGAGGGAAGGGGGGGACCCTAAAGAGATGCACCTTGATGGAATTAGGAGAATCAATACCTAGAGGTAGGCCCAAGATGAGTAGACAAATGTGATAGCGGAGGATATGAGAAACATGAATCTTACAAATATTGACACTAAGGACCGTCATAAATGTATAAGAAAAATCAGAGAAAAAACTGGCCTGCCTACCTGGGTAAACCTACAATCACTATAAAATTGAGAAGATTTTTTTAAAAAAACCTATATTTGGCGTTCAAAATGGTGTAACAGCATACTGAGGGCAGAGTTGTCGGGGTAATTTTGAACCTTTTGAGAGATTCTTGTGCCATCAATATCTTCAGCATTTTATCGGATTCTTTCCTAGTGGGTGAAATAAATATAAACATGTATATAGATAATATGTAACATAAAACATGTTGGCTGAATTATCTTTCTCTTTTTATTATTTTTTTAGTTTCCATTCTTTCCTTTCTCTCTTTTCCTCTATATCAATAAAAGGTATATAAAAAAATTATTGCACGTTTACAATTCTGGCAAGGGTATCCGGTTAAAAGGAGGACCTAGTGGATCGGTTTTGCTTTTTTTCAACAAAAAACTTTCCTTTTTCGTTTTCTTTTTCTATAAAATTTTTTTTAATAAATACTTAATTTTAGAGTGTAGTATGTATTATTTTCATTTCATTTCTTCATTCTTATTTTTTTTAAATAGATTACATGTTCTAAGATAAACCTAAAGTTCCTTGAACTGAGTTGAGAAGGATGGGAAAATTATAAAGCAAAAAATATAATCTCAAGTTTCTAAAAGAGGCACGAGAGAAGGATTACTCTCTCATAAACCTCTACTAATTGGGTGTTAGCAATTTCATACAGATAGAAAGAAAGAAAGAAAGAAAGAAAGAAAGAAAGAAAGAAAGAAAGAAAGAAAGAAAGAAAGAAAGAAAGAAAGAAAGAAAGAAAGAAAGAAAGAAAAGAAAAGAAATATTTATTTTCACAAGAACCTTCTTCTTTTATTTTTTTTTTTTAAATTTCGGGAAATCAAAATTTTGTAGCATTTTTAAGAGTATAAAATATGTAACAATAATTTTAATATTAATCAAATTAAATACAAAAATTCTTTGTTAACACAAGTTTTACGAATCCGTTGGTTATAGATACACGCCATCGTCATTACACTACCCAAATCATTTAATCCACGCTCTATAAACCAATAACATTTAATGATACCTAAACTGACGCTGCATTCATTAAAAGTATACATCAATGAAAAACAGCTGGGGACGCCATTTTGTTGCCCATATTATTATTATTAAAAAATTTTAAACGAGAGGGATAATTATTTCTGTCTGACGCAAACTTTATTAAAAAATTGCATGATCATCCAGAAAATAAGAAAGCAAATTTATTTAACATGAGAATAATTACAGTCTAGGTATTATCAATTTCAATATAAGGTATAATAATTTAAATTTTCATTATAATAAATTTTAATATATTTAAAAATGTTTGAAAAATATATAATAATACTATTAAAAAAAAGAACGGAGATGGTGTGACGCAGGGAAACAAAAATGAAAAAGGGACGTAAGCGTTGTCTATGATAGCTCTTTGGCTAGAAGGCTACCATTGAAACTGATATAATTAGCTTTGTGAATCGCTATGGATAATCGTTGACGAAGAAAAAAACCCTCTCGTGGTTCTTCTGAGAGTTTGCTGATTTGTGATCCTAAGTTTTTGAAAAATGCTAAGGCGAGTTTGCCGAAGGTGCCAAGAGTGGTTGATATGATTGGGATGAAGCAATGATCGTTTATTATTTCTGTGTATTTAGAAATTTTAAATTGTTCCTTCTGGTCAAGGATGTTGATGGCGTGGTTGGATGGGGCCAAGGGGTCAATACAGGAATAGTCCCATACCAAAAGTTGGCCTCTCCTCCATGGGATTTGAGAGATCCCATCAGGACGTTTACCGTCAGATCTAAAAAGACCCTGTGGTTCTAACGTGGAAGGAATTTGGGCGGATTTCAGAGCATGTTGGATGATTGTATTACATTGCTTGTGTCTGATGAATCGTCCATTGCAGGAGCGACAATGTAAACTATGTCTACCCTTCGAGTCAACTGCGAGTTGCACCCTGAGCAGATGTGAGGGTGAGTGATGGAACAATTTAGACGAATGCCGATGGCATGGGTAAATTCATTGTTGGATAGTTGAAGCTGAAGATTGGTAGATGGGATGGCTGCAAGAAACTCATGTCCCGTACCATTGAGCAAGGAAGAGAATAGGGTGCGGTCGGTAGATTGCATGCTAGATAAGAGAGTTTCAACGCAGCGAGCAACCACTGGTGCATCCCAGTCTTTCTGTTTATGGGTTGTGGGGGGGATGAGAATCAGCATTGATCCTTGTTTTCCAAATATCCATAGCCACGATTAAGGAAAGGTCTTCTTTAGAATTATGGGCGGTGGTTATTGGCTTTGTCAAGAGACTACTTGATATGAAAGTAGTTGTTGCTAAGTCAAGTGGAGATCTGATGCCGAGACCACCAAATTTGGTTGGAAGAGTTGCTTGGGCCCAAGCGGTTTCGTTGAATCTGATATTTACTATTTTTTCGGTTAAGTCCTTTATTCCTTTTTCGTAAGTTTGGAGAGGAATAGGTTGCTATAAAACGAATCATGTTAATAAAGTTATTTTTTTGTTTGGGTTTCAGAGGCCTAAGAGCCCTAAAAAAGTAATTTTTTAAGCTGCCCGAGCCTGACCTGAACACAAATCTTCTGTTCCAGCCAGAACCGAAATCGAAGATGAACATTATTTTGGAATTTGTATAATATCTTGAGGAAAATCTATGAGTATTATTATTCACATATTGCCTGCCATCTTAAATAAAAGTACATTTAACCGCCAATAGGAGTTGCGAAACCGAGTACAACAGTTTATTTATTTTGTATAAGTTGTGATTGCCGTTTAAATGTGGAGAACTGTCAGTCAATCATTTATTATTAGTTTTTGTTTTATATCCTTATATATATATATATCTTTAGCATAGATTACGAGCAACTTTACTGTTTTGATCATAGATTACAAACAATTATTGTTATATAGATAATAAATTATAAAAAACATTATTGACGTTGAATATTGATTACAATTACAAACTACATTATTGACATCGAATATAGGTCAAAACAGTATAATATATGTTAGCGGCAATGTGCCATCTTTTTCAACTTTAAATCATAATTTTAGAGCTTTTTTTTTAAAAAATTTAAAGATCGGATTCAACGCGAAATGTATTCTAGCATGTTTTACCTATTTTCTTATGAATGATAGAGATTTTTGCCTTTAATCTTTGTGTCATTTATAATTTATATAATAAAATCTATCGAAAAAACGAATATAAATTATAATAAGTTTAAAGGTTCGTGGCGAAATTGCCTGATATTTATAGAGTAGGCATTCCGATTGAATACATTTTCGGTAAAATCAGATTTTTAAATTTTTTAAAAAAAACCTAGCTCAAAAAATGATTTAAACTTGACAAAATAACACATTGCCGGAAAAAAACAATATTACCCCTTAACACATATAATGATTGTGATAAACATGCTTTCGGTAAATTTAGTTTTTTATCAATATTATAATTTTGTCATTATCTTTTTTTTATATTTTTATGTTGGGTTATAAAAGCCCTGAAAAAGAAGAGATTATTATTATTATTATATATATATTTTTTTAAATTATATTCTTCCAGTTAATTACAATGAAGAAAATTATATTCAAAAAGTGGTAAGAAAAAAAATAACTAAATTTAAGAACCAAGAAATTGAAAAAGAAAATAAAACTAAGAAATTAAGAAAATAATGAAGATATTAAAATAGACATATCAATAGAATAGAATCAGAATAATTATCATTTTTAACTGGTAACAAAATGCAATAGGAAAATCGATAATTCATAAAAATGGAAATTACGTAAATGAATGAATGGCACGTGGTAAGATTAAAAAATAACATGCGATTCTGATTGACATTTTGCTGAGACAAAATGAATAATTAAACAATATTTCTTATATTTACTGGTCGGCCAATGAAATTTCAATGTCCAAGCCCGAGGCTAGGGTTAGACAACCTGTGCAAACCTATACCTGTAATCAAGAAGGTAATCGCCATGCTTATTTTAATATTTTATACTAGACAAACTCTTCTGGCAAATATAACTCAAAATTCATTTATTATAAAACCATCTGGTATACAAATCTATATATATACTGAATAAATAACAGAGTAGGTCATATTTTTATCGCGGAATTTATTTTCGAGAAAACGCTTGGGTAATTAAAGTACTATATCGCGGCAAAATTTAAAATATCAAAAAACCTTAAAATCGCCGGAATTGAGCGCATTGACCGCGGAGCTATCTTCCTCTTCGTTATTTTGACCAGGAGGTCCGAGGGAAACGACGACGTCGGATTCTTTTAGCAAGCCGCAATATATCTTGGTCTTGTTAACTGTATATTTATATATAAAGTTTCTAATCATAAAAAAATGATTAACCGCAAAATGGACGCATCCTTTTGAAGAGCCTATAATTTCGGCTAAAAACTCGGTAAAATGTAACGATTTATTAATAACTAAACCGGAAGCAAATTCATAGTTTTAAGTGTTAAATGTAAAACGGATAGAATTTTTATTTTGATGGACATATTGTTACTCAATATTATATAAAACGATTCATAAAACGTGATTCATTAATACCACCCCCCCCCCACCCCAAAAAACCCAACCATTAACATCGATGTTTTAATTTTTTAACTCAAATTTAGTCGGTTTTAAAATAAAATATTTAGGAATGTTCAAATAAAAGAAAATAAAATATCGAAAAAATGCCCCCTTTTTTCATAACACTAAGCGGGGGCTAGCGACCAATCCTGACGAATTTTTGTATCTTGTATCTCGTAATTATAAATATAAATAAACCGTGTCTCCTGGATTCGCCTTCCAATGCGCCAATGACTCTTTTGATTTGTTTCGCACTGCGGGGTGGTTCATCGGCAACTAATTTTAAAAAAATAATTAAGATTGCTTATATAGTTCCTGTTTTCTCTTTCTTTCTTTTTCTTATCTTCCTTCCTTTTCTAAATCTCTTCTCTTCTTTTTAAATTAGAAAACGGAGATTGAAAGGATTATCCTTAACACGTGGCCTCCTTGTGTTCAAACCACTATACTGCAAATAATATCAAATACTTTCAATGTCCAAGAAGGTATCCATCTTATTGATGATGTCGTGTAAATTGTTCTTGGTCAAGTGGTATTTGAGGTAGGCCAGCGTTTCCCTCGAGAAACGCAGAGAGTATTTGTTAAATCTGTTAGTTTTTTTTTAAAAAAAAAGATATACTTTCACTCTTTACATGCTTTGCTAACAATTCGGTTAATTTAAGCTTAAAAACCGGCATTACGCGATAAATAAAATTTTGTGGAAATTTGCAGAGGTTTAAGATCACCGATATACCGTTATAAATTTCGTAATCGTGACCGAACCGTTATAAAAAAAATTGAAAGAGAATAGAACCATTATAAACGCTTTGAACCGGGTTTCATAACGGGTTTCTTTGCGATGATTACCAAAATTTAAAATCGATACAAAATTAATCTGTGTGGTTTATTATTATATATTTATTTAAATTTGTTATTTCTTATAACCACTTTACCCTGGGCCACGGGGGAACAAATCCCTTATTTGGGATTATACAAGTAGCTCATCCTTCCCCGCTAAAATAGCAAACTTGCTTACTCAAGCAGAGAATTTTAAAAAATAAACAACAGAAGCCTCAGCAATTTTATATTCTCACCAATAGCTGCGTCTACCAACGGACAGTTCGCTTCTTTAACTATTAGCTTTTTTCTTAAAAAAAATAATTTAGCTCACAAAATCAAATCGCAAACATCCGAAACTAAGGGAATTCCTATTTCTCAGAGAGAACTTACAATTCAAAATTTTCGAATTTCAAATATTGTTCCATTTTAGGGAACGAATAAATAGTTTTTATAAATGATTTTAATATTTTTTTTATAAAAAAAATTAAAATAATAATAAATAATAAAAGAGAAAATTCAAAACTTATTTTTCTTTAATATTTAAAAGTGGTTTTAAAATATCTCTATCAAATTATTGGGGGGAGTGGGGGATGGGGGTGGAGGGGGTCAACAAAATAATATATAATATGAGAATTATTTTTTTTTAAATCTAATATTTAATAAAAACCGGATTGAGCCTAAGAAATATCCGTTTAAAAAATATCCGAAATACCGAAAACCGAGTTAAAACTACAAACTAAAAACTGGGATAGAATCGAACCGATATATCTACCGGTTTGACACTGTTCTTTATATTATTTATAATAAAAAACTTAGGAAAACACGTGATATTAACACATTATTTCACCATATTATGAAAGGAAAGATCAATAGATTTTAATGAGAACTCGATCAATATTTCATAAGAAATGGTGTACTGGAAGAGAGTGGGGTTCTGTAGGTTCTGAAAATTTCAAAATATTTTTATCGTTTGTGGAGAAAAATGAAAGATCCCAGTAACAGTAATTTGTTTGTATTATAAATGAACCTGAACCAATTCAAGAGATCGTTATTATCGGCATGAACTTTGGTCTTGAGTGCCACGAGTTGTTTCATGTCTTCCTGGTGGAGTTCGGTGTGAAATTGGGAAAATGTTGTAAAAAATCTTTGACCTATAAATTAAAGGATATCCAATTTAATTTAATTGATATAATATTATATATTTAAAGTTATGTAAGTCCGTTTATATTCTAATCGAAATCGATTTTACAATATTACCGAATTTACAAATAGCATCTGTCTAGCAATGATAAACATTTTTAAAATGCCGCGATTCAACTAAACAAAACCGCTTTTTTTTTGTTTATTATTTTAAAAAAAGTAAACAATATTCATTTTTTTTTAAATAGTTAGCTTCTGATATTCTATTTATCATACCCACCCCTAGGAATGAGCCCAAAAAAATGGTTCTTGCCAGATTCGAACCCAGAACTATCGGATTGAGATACAATTCTCAGCCGACTGGGCCACAGACGAATTTCGAAAATGACCAATTAAGTTTGATTAGGTTTTCTCGTCTCGATCGTATAGTAACAATGTTAAGTATTACTATATAAAAAAACATCCTTAGAATAATATTATTCACAAAAGATTGAAATGATATTACATTTTTAAAAAATTTAACCCCGGACCTATTCATACCCTAAATATAATACTTAGGCAACTTCCCCTTTTTTGGAGTTTTCTTCATATCAAAATTTTAAAAAAAAATCGATTTATAAAATAACGATGCGTACATAGCAAATTATTAAATAATACAAACTCATTTTAATATGCAATTATGGTAAGGGTGGAAATCTGGGGCTTGTTTGATGGTCTGGAATTTAAATGCAGAAATGTAAATGCAAATAATCTTTTTACTTTTGTAAAGTCATCTTTCAATCTGGTGCAATAAAATAAAGGGGGGGGGGGGGTGGAGATCATGCTATATTTTGGGTTACAGGTTTTATTTATAGCAAAGATGCTCCAGTAGAAATAATACAACGGTATTGGCAAGTGTTGGTATCCGATACATTAGATTTTTAACCATTACCAGTAACCAATACTCAAAAACATTTTTATTTATAATAAATGGAAAATAATAATATTGATGAATTCTTATTTTGTTTTTTGTTTAATTTTTCAATAAATATAAAAATACGTTGATATTTTTTATAAGCCCAATATCAGATTAATAATCCATGGTAGTGGCTTGGTTATCAGCCAAAAAGATGGTAGAGTTACTGAAGATCTTGCAAAAGCCCAAGGCCAGGCCAAGTAAATTCTCTAAAAAAAATTAAAACAGGTTGGGAATATTTTGCGGCTGAAAATTTAAGGGAAAGGGTTGGGCAATTTGTGCATAAAAGATTTTCGGGCTGGGCCAAATAATTTATATATAAAATATCAGACAGGGCTTCATAATTCCCTGATAAAAATTTTAATGGGGCCAGTGTGTGTTAAAATTTTGATAATTTTTTTTTTGAATATCAAGTTAATATTTTTATTTTTTATTAATACTATTTGAAAATAAATTTCACTATATGCATTCCATTGTATTTTAAGAGCTGTCTAACTAAAATACTAAATATAAATAATATAGTAAATTCACAAAAAAAATAAACTATTTATTTATGCCGTGATCTAATTACAAATGATACAAATATCAAACACAATTTATAAAACGATTGTTGTAGAAATAAAAAGCTATAAATGAGAGATATAAGATTCTTTAATCTTAGTTGATATTGGGGGAAAAAATAAATATAATATTGTTAATGTGATAAGCAGAAAATTTTATAAAAAATTTAATGGTCAGGGGGGGGGGGGCTACTTAAACATCTACGGGTTGGGCTGGGTAAATTTAAAAAAAAAATTAATATAAGTTGTGCCAAGCAGGGCAAATTTACAAAAATTATAACAGGCCAGGCCTGTGAAAAAATCTAATGTGAGGCCAGGCAATTTGTGCAAACATTCTTAATGGGCCTAGGTTGTAAGCAGGCTTTGCAGAACCCAATAGGTACAACTCTGATTTGTAGTAGGCAGTAGGCACTAATGAAGCAAAATCACTCCATTTTAACTGATTTTTAAAAATGGCCAACTCAGTATTCTACCCAGAAAAATATTACATAAGCCTGAAGATTTTGTTCATTCATGGTACAAAAGTTTGGATATTTACTAGCAAAATATCTAAGAGTAAGTCAATATTTTTCTAGCTAAAATATTGAGCTCATCATTTAGTAAGTGCAATGATCTTTACATAATGTGATGAATGTGATTAAGAAATATGGTGAGTACCATTAAACAATATCACAGCTGATTGATCTCAGAATTCTAGTTGCCATCATTTAGTATTAATTTAAATGTTTCCTATGGTTTTATATTTAACATATCGTGAATCATGACAGAGAGCAAAATTGCACTATTTTTATAGTAGAAAATAAGGCCTTATTTTGGTAGCAATGCTACTTTTGAAAAATAGCAATGTAGTATTACCTTTTTCAATAAAAATAATGTAAACATAACATTACTATTAGACAGAATAATTCAAAATGTAATGTCATTACTTTATTTGCTTAATAAATATTTATAATTATGGTTACTAAATATATTTATTCAATTGATAAGATCATATTATGGATTAAATTATTATTGACTACAAAAAGTTAATATTTATTTTATAAATATACTACAAAATGAATACAAATTGTAATAATAAACAATTTAATATTTGTGTTTACTTTCTTCAGTTTGATTTTCATATATTAGTTCAATAAAAGTGTGTATAAATATAGGATATAAGAGGTTTGCAAACTCAGCCTGTTAAATATATTACATTTAATTCTTGATATATTATTATACCTTATATTTATCTAAAGACATTTCAACTAAACTAACAAGCTTTGAATAAATTTCCAATTGATTAAACCTGTATTCCCTACAATGATATATCCATAATGGTAATATGTAAAATAAACTTGCTAAATTTGTCGATTGGTTTTGAACTATTATCAATTTCTTTTAAGAAAGTATGAACGGTCTCCTAACAAATATATGATATGCAAAACATATTTCAAAAATATATTACATTGAGATTATTATCCCTCAATAACTCAATGATTTTATTCTTAGTTTCTTGAGGTAAGAAATTCATAAATTCAAAAAAAAATATTATAACGCGATAATTCGAAACATGTGAATAATGAAGGACATCGTCAGTCTAGAAATGTATAATAATTAAAACTGGGATAAACGATTTGAAAGTATTCAAATGTAATAAAAACTTAATTGATATAAGTAAAAATTTGAGTGGTAATTTATATTACTACTTCCAAATGGAATTGAAAAGTGGATTATGAACGATTTTTGGTTAAAAATGATTATTTTATCCATGAGAGTTTTTTAAATAAAATTAAAATTACCGAGGTAACTAACATAAACCATTAAATTATATAAAATAGACATAAAATATTTATCTATTTCAATTTCATCCATGGAAATAATTTGGTTGAATATAATTTATTCCGTATTTAATTAACCCATGCTTATTTTATCAAGATTTTTAAAGAAATTTTAAAAATCTGCAAAACAAGTTAAAAGCACTTCTTCATGGGTGCAGCGGGGCTTGGTCTACGTGGAAATTCCTACAAATAGATAATTATAATACTTTAATATTTTAAACCTAAATTTTCTATCAAAAATTTACAAAGAAGTCCCCCAACGAATTTTTTATGTCCATGTTTATGCAACTAATAATTGTAAAATATGCTATTACCGTGTATCATAGGTGCACCTAGATGGGGTGCAAAGAGAAATCCACTATCACCCTCCTTATAAATATATTGTAAATATCATTTTAAGCTAATATAAAATATCATCCTTAATCCCCTTCCCCAAAAAATATATATATCTTAAAGAATAATATTCAAAGAAAGAATGTAAAAATTAATCATTTAAATTGGTTACTATCTTTAGCAATTTCCTTCATTTTAAATAATAATAATAAGTTATTTGTATTAAAATTAATCTCCTATCTTATAAAAATATTTTCTAGCTATAGACAAAAGTGAACCGAAGGCCCGTTAAAATGGGGGAAGGAATATAGTGCATAGCAAAATTATATAAAGACCCCAAAATTTACAGTGCTCTAATGTCAACAAAGATTAATATTGTTAAATATTGTTTTTATTTATAAATTTATTGGATTAATTAATTAAATTCCATTCTTAGCTCATATACTTAAAAATATAAAGTAGAGCATTTTAATTTTGTAACCATGATATTCTATTTATATCACAAATAGTGACATTAATAAACTTACTATAACCAATTCAATCAATGAAATGGTCCATAATAAACCTTTTATGCAGTCTTTGTTGAGCTTTAATTTAATTAATACTTAAGATCCATTTAATTTTGATATCAAATAATATTATTTTCTTACAATAAGTATTTTACAGCAAAGCAGATTTTTATAAGTTAAATAAAGCCTTGGATTTTATCAAGTAAGATAATAAACCTAGAATGTGGAAATTTATTCAATGTTTTGCTTATTAAAAATTGTTATATCTATAGTGCTTTGTAGCAAAAGCGATATTTCTTTCTTTGAAAAATTACGTGATCCCTGTCATAATTTATATATTTCTTTAAAGTTAAATTTATAATATATATTCATATAGAAAATTTTCCCCTCCTAAGAAAAACTATAGCATTTAATATTCATTATTTTTATAAATATTTGGAGGACTTTTAATTTCATTCACTTAATAACTCTCTCAACGTAAAGCACTATGAATAATTAAGAAGTTGATTAAATAGATGACTCGATTTGCAATTAACCGATATTACTAATAAATTATGCAAATAATAGAGTGACATTTAAACTTGAGACAAACCAATTATGTATAAGTACCAGTCCTATTTTCATTATAAAAAAATTATCTCTTTTTAAGGGGACTACCTGCTGAATCTTAATATTTTTTAAAAGGGGGTATATCATTAAAATATTGTTCTGGCATCCAGGAATAAATTATGTCGCTCTTTTTAATATGTCTATATCCGATAATTCGTATTAAACCGATTTGCATTTATAAGATATTTAACATTTTTCGAGATTTTTTTTATAAATGGCCTTTTTTTTATCGCATTTAAGAATATTGCCATTTATCCGATTCTCATTTAAATTATTTTAACATTAGTGTTGTTAAACGGCTCGATTTGAGCCGATTTTTAAAAAGCTAACTCATTATTGTAGCCGGAAAAATATGCGTCTAAGTCTTGCGATTTCGTTAATAGATGTCCAAACTAGTGTCTGTTAAACTACCTATCTTTTAGTTATCCATAAATCAGCCTAGCCATATTTTTATCCAGAAATATTCTAATCAATCTTCAAGTTGAGGCTCAACTTAGAAGCTTAATTCAATTTTTTAGTCTAAAAGCTTGACTAAGACATGATAGAGATGTTCAAAGTTAGGTAATTTAACAACACTAGTCCAAACGATTGTGCCATCATTGAGCAAAATCTTCAGCCTTACGTAATATTATTCTGGATAAAATATTGAGTTACTCGGTTTTAAGAATCGGCTCAAATAGAGCCGTTTAACAAAACTGTTCAAATCTAATCGTAACTAAAATTTCTATTAAAAAAAAAGTTTAACTATTGCGATTTTGCGTTTTCTTTGCTATTTACCTTAAATTACAAAAAAAAAGACATTAGTTAAAAAAAAACATTATCTTTTTAGAGAGTTATGTTTAGTAAATGTTAAAAGAGAGCTTGATTTGAGCCGATTTTTAAAAACGTCTAGCTCAATGTTTTATTCACAAAAAAATAAAACGCACAACCCCTAAAGATTTTGCTTATAGATGATACAAAGGTTTGAATATCTATAAGCGATATCTCAAGGTTTAGCCAATATTTTTCTGGGCTAAAATATTGAGTTAGCCGTTTTTAAAAATCGGCTTAAATCGAGCCGTTTAACAACACTAGTTGTGTTCATTAGATAAAATATAAATATTAATGTAACCATAACGAGGATACTAAAATATATGTGTATTATAAATATTTTAAAAAAAACTAACCGAAGTATTATATTTTTTCGCATTTCTTATGACGAAAATTGTGTTTGGTGGGCCTTATTCTAAGGTGCGTAAAAGAAATGACAAGTTACCAAAATAAATATTAATAAGATAATACTTTTTTAAAATCAGATACACCGATACACCCCAAAAAATATTAATTAACTTTTTATCAAAATTAATATTTTTTTTTAAATGGCCTATTAATCCATGAATTTATAAGTGGAAAAAAATTGATCTACAGATTTGTAAACTGATGAGGAAAAAATGTAAGCTTTTTTTGCGGCTCCATCATGCTATTTTATCACATGCCTCATTAAACTGATATTAATAATAAAGAAAGTGTTGTTAAATTCTGTTCCTATTATCTTCTTCCAAATTTTTTTGCGGAATTATCTTTATTATGGAGATAATTAAAATGAGGTAAATTACGGTGAATTAAAAATATTTTTGATGGATATTAAAGGTATCGTCGGATCACCGTATCGATATTGGCGGCCAGGCATAATAGAATATTAGATTTTATATGCTGATGCGAAGGTGTTAATTAGTTTTTTTAAAAAGTATGTTAAGTATGTAATTGTATTTTATTAATTAATCAATATCAAACTAAGATCATCATCTATAAATATCTTATGATATCTTACCATTCATTTACTAACATAAAATGTTTTAAATCGAATTAATGAAGAAATATAATACTAGATTCCATTTCGAATCTAATTAAATCCATTCCTAAGGTTCAAGTGGCTCCTGCACCATAAAGATTATTAGCAAAGTTGACCTATCATCAATTTTATTATCATTAATCTAATTTATCCCTAAAACTACTTTTAAAAAAATCGCTTCTTGGATTCCTATTATTAATCACTAAAATAGGAGTTTAATGATTAATTTCACCGTGTTGCATGATATGCACATTACCTGGCTATTTAAAAATTATCCATTCCATTTAATAATCATTCATTAAAGTAAATTGTATAAAAAGAATATCTAGGTATGCATTATACAAAAAAACGTTATAAATAAGTATATTGAATATTTAAAGAAAAACTCAAATAGTATTTACAAAAATTCAATAAAAACAAAAATTATACCTCAATAAAGATTATATTTTAGAGAAAAAAATTGTTCAGTGTGTGCAAAGGTAATTAACATTTTAAGACAGATCCAAAAACGATCAACTAAATTCTATACCTATTGCCAACAAATATATTAATGGTGATCGAAAATGTAAAACAATTATTATTACGTGTTTTTTTTTCCGAAAAAAGCTTCCCTTGAGACAAAATTCATATTTGTTAAACATTTGAGAATGTTTTATTTTTATCAAGATTTTTTTATTCAAAATTTTTTTATTTTTACAAATATATAATGGATCATGATCCTTTCTCTATTTTTCGATTTATCAATTCTCATTAACCATTTCTCTAGCCTTAAGACGTGTAGTTAATTGTGATAGATTAGATAACAAATAAGTTTAGTTCAATTTAACGTATATCATATTGATTAATAATGATGGAAAATTGATAACGGATTTCGTATATATATGTCACTTTTTTTTTGCAAAATGCTTATCAAATAAAATTCTGAATGAACGATGTATTCTGTTCCTTATAAAATGATTGTATAAGTTTATATCTTTAATTATAGATTTAGTGCTAAGGCAACGAATCGGTGTTGTATCTTGAACATTTTGCTAAAAATATTATTTTTATTTATCTCGATTTACCTCAAGAATATAAATAAATTTTAAAAGGTATATGTATCTAAATATGTTTTTAGACCATGTATCGATTCATTCTTAGAATAGAACCATATGGATTTGCTCCAATAGAAAAAAAGGATTCCAAAAGCATGATCCAATCTTCGGCATTTTTGTTGAAAGCCCAACATAATCTATTTTTATAAAAAAATAAAGAAGAGAAGAAGAGAGAGAAGAGAAGAAGAAGAGAAGAGAAGAGAAGAGAAGAGAAGAGAAGAGAAGAGAAGAGAAGAGAAGAGAAGAGAAGAAGAAAAGAAAAGAAAAGAAAAGAAAAGAAAAGAAAAGAAAAGAAAAGAAAAGAAAAGATATCTACAACTCAATTACTTTTCTTTCTGTTTGCAAAATGTATTGGAGATACAATGGTGTTAAGTTTTTTTTTTGTCAAACACAACTATATCTTAATAGATTATTACATATGAAATAGTATATAAATCAATTTTAATCATGTAGCAATCATAAGTAATCAAAAATAGAACTTTTCAGTGGCTTTGCGCAAGTGTGGATTAGAATCCCATAATAATCAAAGCATCAAAATTAAATACCCCCTCTCACCCCTAAGGATAAAAGAAAAATATACAAACTGTGAGGGCATTAGAAGGATGTTTGTATCTTAACTGTTTTTAATTAACGCCATCTATTTTATATTCCTTTATTTTATTGAATAAATTATGCATCATCAAAATGACATCATTTTTTATTTAAAATAAAATAAAATCAATATTAAAAAATTAAATATAATATTTTTTAAAAAAATCCCGAAAAAGCCCCATTTTTTTAAAAATAAATATATATTGATTGATTTTTTCAAAAAAATTTAGATTTTATTTTTTTTCCTAATCACTTTTTCTATAGGTTCGAATTCTGTACCATCTCTAATAAAATAAAATTCAAAATTATTAATTTAAGAGTATAAATTGGAAATGATAAGTTTATTATGTTTGATATTTTTGTGTTTTTAATAGAGAATCACTGATCCTTGCCAAGATAATGAGATCGGTTCAGGTGGTTTTTTTTCCTTTCACTTTTTGTTTCGATTCGAATCCCATAAAAACGGTCTCTCTGGTTGCTTTTTTATATTACTAATCTTAGGTGTAATTTCTGCGTATACCATTCCTAATAAATTCATTAATTTGTTTTAAAAAAATATAAAATTTAAGATCAAAAACCAGTATTATTTAAACTACTCGAATTGAGACGATTTTTGAAAGCGGCCAACTCAATTATTTAATCCAGAAAATTCTTTATGCCAGCCTGAAGATTTTTTCTCATAGATGGCAAAAAATAAAGGTTTGGACATCTATTAGAAAAATCTCGAGGGATCAGTCGATATTTTTCTGGCTAACGTATAGAGCCGAATCAAAAGAATATTGGGCTATGCTCGACTTTTATCAGGTTCGCGATTTGGGTTCGGAAAATAATAACGGATACCGGTTTATCGGTTACGTTTGAATCCCCGAAGAAAATCGATTCGGCAGGAAACCATTGGGCGTATCTAATATTGGATCGATATTATCTCTTATTTCGCATTAAGAGATGAATCCAATATTAAACGTGACAAAGCCCTTCAAAAATATTTTAATTCAAAATTTGATTGTTTTAATTAGTAATTAGTTTGCTAAGGATGTACGAGGTGGACGCTTCTAACAATCCTGTTGAAATTTTTATTAGGTTTCTTAGGCTCGACTTCTTTAAATAATTTTGTTACAAGTTTCTCTAGCTTCAGGGAGAAATATAAACTCTCAGGTATTTACCTAATTCTTAGCATCAAAATAAAATTTATAAAATATTTTCCGCGAGGTCAAGGGCTCAAAAAAATAATTCTGGCCCGAGGACCGAACTATGGAGGGGTGCCGAACCTCGAATGTAAATTTATATAATCGAAATGGCTACTGATGGGTTCGTTCATACTTGGACAACATGTGCCGTATATTACGTATGCATATGGTGTTATCAGATATCTGGGTACCGTCCACCACAAAATGGTTCCTTAAGCAATCGTCATATGCAGAGAATTTAATCGTCTTGTTTTTACAATTTTCTCTCCCCTTTCCCACAAAATATTTACATTGCGGTCTGCATTGAAGTTTGCAAGAATCTTTATCTATATAAAGAAGAAGAAAAAATTAATGAATAAAAACTGAACTCTGTATTTGGAATATAATATTTCTTTAAAGATGTAAGGAAGGAATATAATTTTTGTTCTAAAAAATAATGATAACTTTTAAAGTATCTGAATATCTTTAGCCCATGTAAGAAATGATTTAGAAGTTCGTTGCACATATGATTGTTAGCCAACTTCGATGTTATCTCAGACTTTGTTTTCTAAAAGTAATATTTTATTTATTTATTTTATTTTATTGACAACTATATTCCTTATCATATTATATTTCGTATTCAATAACTAATAGTTGGGTAATGGACTAAATGTCGGCTAATTCGACTCAATCTTCCGGCGGCTACCATAGAAAATCAGCTGACATTAAAGGCGATTTTAATTTAATATTAGTTTCTTCCAAAATTGAACTTGCCATCTTTTTTTAAGAAAAACTACCCGGTGGCCAAAGTGATAGTTTCGGCTTAAAAAATTGATCGACTTAAATGGCTAAAAATATGGTAACTACCCAACTACATCAATAACAATCACCATATAAGTACCGCTTCCAAATTTAAACGTTCGAGTTTTTGCGTTGAAACAAATTGAAGCGTTTTGTAAATATTTATTTTTAAATTTAGGTGGTAAAAAACATATTTTACCCCTCAAAAAATAAAAGTGGGATATATACATACCCTTCATCCGGAATGAAGAAAGTGGGATATACACTCTCTCTATCCAAAACGAACATAAGTGGAATATCCCCCCCCCCCGTATTTTATGATCTCGGGTAACACGAAAAAGGGAGATGTTATTTTGAATTGGGTTTTACTATGTTTTAATATTCTGTAATAAGTTATAAATCATTGAACTTGGGGTAAAATAAATTATTGAACCTGGGGCAAAATAAACTATCGAACTTGGGGTAAAATAAATTATTGGGGGTTAAATAAATCCCACTTTTGTATGCTAACGTATAAAAATTTTTTTTTGAAATCGAATTTTGGTTCAAGTAATTTTTGTGAAAAGGGTAAAGAAATATATAAAAATTAATAATTATTGTTATAGTAAAAATATGTTATTCTTATATAACAAGTTATACACATAAATTTTAGGGCCAATCAATGACATATATATAAATATGTTATTTTGACAATTTTTTTGCAAGTCAAATAATTTTATTTTAAAATATATTAATAAATATGGAAATGTTTTGAATTAAATCTGCACATCACTGTATATTAAATTGTTTCACTTACATCATGACATGGGACAAATCTTTCGCTACGGCCATTACAAACACTTGAGTTTGAACTAAAATATTAATTTTTTGTTAGATAAACATGATAAATTATATCATATGTAGTGGGGGGGGGGGGGGAGAAAGGAGGTGAACAAAGAAATACTTAGTATAATATCCATGATATATAATAATACCTAGAATGACGATTCATTCATAAAAGTATATGTATCAATGTAAATCAGCTGGAGACGCCATTAACGCCATATTGTATAATGTATGTATCCGAATTAGGAATAGGCTACGAGAGCGATATTCAAAAAAAAATTTTTTTTAAAAAAAATTCTGACTTTGCAGAAAATGTATTCCAATCAATATGTTACAAATGTCAAACAATTTTAATCTGAAATATTTTTTTAAGTATCTTTTAATTTATATTTGATTTGTTCCAACAGAGTTTGTATAACCAGGATCAGAAAATGGGAAAGCTCTGAACAGGGAAAAATTTAGGAATAAAAAAATTCTATTTAATTTATCTCTACCAATAACTATGATTAGAAAATTAATAGAGTGTATCAAATGTTCAGATAAACGAATAGACAGAATTTTTTGAATATAATTATTTCTGAGATTTCTTGTGCTACAAGAAAAAAATAAACTGCAAAAAGCCTGCACGACAGACAAGATGGAGTCTTCGATATCTAGCTGCTACGGCATAAAAATAACCCCCCCCACCCTCTCCCTGCTAGAAGATTCTTGGCTGCTGCATTTATTAAAAGTGTACATCAATGAAAACAGCAGGGGAAGCCATTTTGATTACCCATATCATTATTAAAAACTTTAAACGAGAGGCCAACTTATTCCTACGTCTGACTCATACTTTATTAAAGAACTGCCTGGTCATCGAGATAATAAGGAAGCAAGGTTATCAATTTAATAGTTAGCTTTTAGCATGAGAATAACTGCCATATGGTTTACCAAAATGACTAGCTGAATGAATGCATCGTCAGTCTAGGTATAATTATATGTCATTGCTAGAAAGATTATTTTTTTTAAAATATAAATACTATTAAGAAAGGTCATTCATTATATATACAAATATACCTAATATCTATTATACATTTCTTCTGCTTTTGGAAAGGCATTTCAAAACCGGTACAATTACCACTAGTTTCCCATCTTGATCCAATATAATTTGCGTCAACTTTTTTTTGGTCTATAAATATTTAAAATTATTTATTATCTTAAGAGAAAGAATCATCTTTGATAAATAATTAAAATAACGAATAATCATGCATATAAATTTCCCTTATTTAAATTTGATGTTGTTTTTTTTTATTGTCGATTCAAAATTTAAAATAAGTTCTTAAAAAAAAGGATTATTTGTTCTTTGCAAATTATATTATCGTCTGCTTTCTTATTTCTTAATTTCTTTGCTTTAAAGAAATTCTAGATTCAGGTAAAGAGCTCAATTTTAAGGCCTATAAAACAAACAAGAGTCAGATTCTTCTGGAGAAAATAATCAAGGGTGCTGGCCATAACTGGGAAAAAAAATATTGTTAGGGGTTGAATATAATATTTATTGATTTTGTCGAACTCAGGTTGATGGACAGGGTAATCCGATTTTTAGGAGAAGCCTAATTAGCCCTTCATGATTTATCACCTTAAAAACTCTGCAAGAGGAGTCAATTAAAATTAGACGATTAACGCAGGACAATACGCCAACTGAATAACTCTAAAAAAAAGTATAATCAAAAACCTATCTTTCTAAAATATAAAAAATACGCATAGTTAGGGAATATTTTCCGTGTACTCATCGGTGTAAAGGATAGCTGTAAATGTTTAAATAGGATGTATAAATATTACACTTGTTGGAAACATACGATGACTTTTATATATATCTAATTTTAACTTTATATAGTATTATTTTAGACTATAAATTTGAATATAAAATATAATAAAAATTGTAGCATATTTTATAAAAGGTCGTAAGTAAATCGCTATATATTTCATTCGAATATGATAATTATTTTATATTATTATGATTAATATTATAATTTATTTTAATACAATTTATTTTAATTAATATTTAAATTTATTTTATTTTAATTAATATTACAATTTATTTAAATTTATTTTAATTAATATTTAAATTTATTTTATTTTAATCAATATTAAAATATTATTTTTTTTAATATCTATAACAGCACTCAATAAGGGCTATTTACAGAACTCGGGTTCTATAACAACAGCCTTACATTATAAAAATAATTAAGTTTTTCAAATAATATGCACTTTTAAAAAAAAAAAAATATTTAATTTTTTCGAGAGAAATTCTTAAAGCATGCTATTTAACATAATAAAGAACGTTAAATACAAAAAAAAACTTATATAAACAGTCAGCGACTTCTAATGAGGGGTATAATTTAGTAATTACAATTTTTTTAGTGGGCTAAAAAAAGGGACTAGACCGAGTTTTAACCGAAATCTATCATTTTTGCCTTGGGATTTTTTTTCTTAAAAATATGAGAAGCTTAAATTTGAAAGAAACTAATATAAATTAAAACGCCTTACTATTTAACTTCTTTTTTTTTCCAGCAAGAGCCTGGAGATTGAACCAAACTAGCCCCGACATTTTAGCCATTACCCAACTATAGCGGGGTATCACTCAAGCCCCATAAAAATAGTGGAATGACCCTCAGAGAATTTTTATAATTTGAGCACCCATTGAACTATGCACAAACTGACCCGGTAAGGCCCTTGTATGTTTCCAGAGTTAAGGGGTGCCACAAATACACCTTTCCGCAATTTTTAATAAGATGCTTATATTTCATATATAAGGATATTTTATTTTTTTTTAAAAAGAATCTTGTATCTTTTTAATTTTCTCGATAAAAGATACAGATACAAATATTTTGATATACTATTTGTTTTAAAAAAAATGTCCAATAATTAGTTGTTTTTTTTTTGCTTTTATATATTTAGAAGAATAATGTATGAATTTTTCACCTATTACATCTGGGAATACTGAATTTACTATTTTTGGATTTTTTTCTTTAATATCTCTGTTATGATTTACTTCGAAATTATTCTGAAGATGCTTATATGAATTCACTATATTTGCTTGCCCTTGAGAAGAGAAGAATTATATATATCTTGGCTGAAATTAAAATGTTTAAAAAGAAATTACCCATCATCAACAAATGAATAATTACGATCATTTCAAGGATAATCATGTTTTATTTGGCAAAAATTATGAAAATGTATTTCGAAATAAGTTAAATTTTTCTTTAATATATAAACGAGAAGGAAATGAGAAAATATTTTTATATTTAACTCTCGAAGATATTATTATTATGTACCTATTTTTCGTAAAATCTAAATATCTTGACCTATACCCTATACGTTTCATACTACCAAATTAAAAAACAAAATTAATTTGTAATAGATATCCTGTTTATATCATATTCGTTAAATGTAAATATTTTTGAGAAATATAAAATATTTAAGAATTATAATAACCAAATAAGCAACAACAAAAATATAAGTTCAATTTTTACAATTTCAACTTAAGGAAAATCAAAATATATTAATTAAAAGTAAAAAAAAACATTAAAAATTAGTTATTATCTTATAAGTTAACAGAAATAAATTTGTTGTTTCTAATGACAAGATACCAGGAATCATATGATCTAAAAAAAAAAATAAGAAGAAGGTAACGATATTTTCAAGGAAAGCGTAAAAAATTACCAGCGGAAAGTTAAATATTTGAACGTTTTCTTGATAAACCGGATCAAACTAAACCGGTGTTCGAACCGACCATAAGTAAAAGGCTCTAATTAAACCGGTCTTCGAACCGACTATGAATAAAAGTGTGTCGGAATCTGACAAAACACGTATCAGCACCAGCCTATGGTAGCGGCCGCCAAAATTAGCCTAATTTAAGAGCTTGAACATATTTTGTTTTCTTACGGATTTATATTAAGTAAATTATAATTTTTATTTTATTTTATCTCAAATCATATTTATCCTCGTTTTATAAGGTTTGCAGAACTAGCTACCATTTGCACAGCACGGCCCGACCCGGATTTGGAACAAAAAAAATCTTTTTAGGCCCGGCCCGGGTATATTCAGAAATTTAAAAAAAAAATTGCGGCTCGGCATTAATAGAATATTAAAATTATAATTAACATACTATATCTATATTCTAAATAAAAAAATATATAATTAAAAAGAAGAGAAATTTTAAAAAAAATAAAATAATATATTTAGGGTTTGTTCGGCGGGGCTTAATGACCCATGTATCAAAGTCTTAGGTCGAAACCCTCTTTATTATATATAAATGGTGCTATTTCAATTGGCTTTTTTTTTTAAATATGGTATATATTGATTTGAATGAATGAAGGTTTCGGTAAACGAATGTCGAATGTGCGTTAAAAGAACGAAAAATAAATTAGCTATTATTTTTAATGTTTAGTTTATCAAATTTCTTTACGTAGGCAAATTGGGAGGGGGGAAGGGGTGTTAAAATGGCCGCCAAAAGTCTTCGCACGACCCTGACAATAAGCGCTAGATAAATTCTTGCTCAAACTTGTGATCCGTCGGCTCACTGGCCACCCCGCTAAAGACTGCTGATAACCCGGGCTAACAAGTTCGCCCCGTGATTTTTAATATGAATATTATGTTTATGTTAATATTTAAAAAAACAATTGTAAATAGTTTATTACATCATTCATCATTATATAAACAAACTTTAAAATTAATATAGTAAAATTACATACAACATAACTTAATAATAAATAAATTATTTATCAAATTGTAATACAAGATATGAGCAGATCTTATCTAATTGCATATCCATCCACGGATTTATTCCCTTATAATTTTAGTTGCCTTTTTATTTAATTGTAAAAAATTTTTGCGTTTAAATGTTTTTTTTTAGTTAGCTATGCAAGATTTTTTTTAAATATTATTAAAATCATGTACTATGTAATATTAAGGTATATCAGAGAGGGCCGGGCCGTATATTTTAAAACCAAATATTTTAAATGGCCCATTATTACAATAGCTATAAAAATTAAAAAATGGATCAGGTCTGAAAATATATAACCCGGGCAGAGCCGGGCCGAAAAAATTTTCGGATAAAAAATTCGGGCCGGGCCAAGCAAATGGTATCTCTACAGACCTCTGGAATATACATCATATTTAGTATTTTTATATAAAATTACATATCTTATTTTTATAAAATAATTTTTAAAAAGTTAGCATTTTTTTTTATTTAAAATATGTATTTTTTTTTAATTTAATTTCTTTTTTTTTTAATTTAAAATTGTGTAATTTGGTATTACAAACAAATTTATAAAATTTAAGGAAGGAGCTTAACGAATTATATGTGCCATTTTCCTATTGCTAAACTGTAACTGAATTAAATTAACCCCCCCCCCCTTCCCACCCCATATGAAATTTAATTTGAGGGGAAAGGTGGGATAAGGGGTCAAGAGAATGAGTTAACAAGACAACGAAAAATCGGTTAGGTGACCTGTGTTGCCTAGTCTTTGGAATTCATTTTTTATTTTATAGATAATAATGGCGATTTAAAATATTCCGCCATGCCAAGGTAATTTATAAAAAGATTTTTAGGCCCGGCCCGGGTATATTTAAAAAAAATATTTAAAATACGGTCCGGCTCATGTGCACGGGCAGGACCTGCTAGATCTCTGATATAAATCTAATTTTAATATTCGAAATTTAAAAAAAACTTAAAAACCGGAAAGAACGAGAAAAAAACCCGATAAAGATCTTATGAACCAAAACTAATTGATATAAAATCGTTGGAAGAGAATGAAACCGAACTGCTATACCGGTTCGACATTTTGATCCGTTAAGATATAACCGAATTACTTTAAAAATTGCAAATATTTTGTTTTTTTATAGCAAAGACATCAAAAAAAAAATGAATTAGTCAAAGTCCTAACACCTATTACAGAATTTACTTTAAAAAAACCGGGTCTACATAGCATAGTTCTGGATATCCGAAACCTCCAGAAATAAATTTCTTATTTTATTAAGATAAGAATTAAATTATTTTTTTATAACGGAATTTACCTTCTATAGTATATTATTTAATACAAAGTCTTAAAAAAAATTGTAAATAATTTCAAGCAAAATTAAAACTAATCTAAGACAAAGGACAAGTAAACGCAAAATGATAATATATTTTTTTTTTAAATGAAAATTATACCCCCTTTTAAATTCAATTAAGAGATTTATAAGCATTTTTCAAATAGGTTCAATATCATTATTTTTTAGGTTAATTACCAGCGTAAAAATTTTAAAGATATGATATTATATATACCTTTACGGATAGATTATTATATTATAGTGCCACTTTTTTTTCGTAGCATGTGATCTTTAAACCCCATTTCATCCAATTAAGTATTGAAAAGGAGTTTAGTACTTCTCTCAGAAAAAGTACATCACGTGATTGTGGTATATGTTTTATATATAAAAAATAATTCATTAAATGGGGGCGAGAGGGGGGGGGGGTATGACGCAGATTATTGAAATTGAAGGAGGTAGCTAGTTATGACGATGCTATTGTCACTTTAATAAGGTGGTTTTGATTTGAATTCCTTTCTTGCTAAATTTTATTTGGTGATAGGGGTTATTGAAGGAGGAAGTGGATAAAGTTTTAAATGGGGGTCATAAAAATTAGTTTGGGTGGGGAGGGAGGGTGGTTAAGATCGTTATTGGCTTTAGGGGATGTAAAAATTCCTATATGGATAAATTAGAAAGAATGGCATGAGTTATAGAAGATGTATCTAATTATTAGTTTTTCTGAAATCCTATATAAAATTATAAAATCTTCTTACACTTTATTAGTTTCCCTAAAGGCAGAGATGTGAACCCTCCTTCTAAAAAAATGGGTTTAGGGTTTCTCTGAACCCGGTTCGGGCTCAGGTGGAGAAAAAAATAATGACTTATTAAAATTAGTTAAAATAAACAGAAAAATCTTCTTTTTAAAAATAATTTATCATTATAATTATAATATATTCGTGATTTTGTACTTCTCTTTGTCTTACTATCAATTTAATAATCCACAAACAACGATATCCTAAAATTTATAAAAAAAAAAAAGAAGCTTTTAAAATCTGCTTTGCTGGGTAAAATTTAAAAATTTTTACGAAAAATTGCCCACTCTTAAATATAACAAAAATGATTCCACGAAAAAATGATCAAAAAATGATCAATAAAATTAATAAAAACAATTGTTTTAAATTAGGAACTCTTTTTAAACGTAAATAATTACATGTTTTTTGTATATTATTTTTTTAACATACAAATTTTAAATAAGTAAAATGAAATATTTAAAATTTAGATAAAAGCTTAGACCCTTGAACCCTAAATTTAAAAAAAGGGTAAGGATTTGGGTTCAGCGAAATATCGAGGGTTGGATTTGGGTTCGTGTTCCCATCCATGTCTACAGGGCTGTATCCAGAAATTTTTCTTGGAAGGGGCCATTGGATGAAGGGGACTTTTTTTTCCTATTTTCCTTTTCTCATGTATTAAATAACACTAGGTTCGTCATTTTTAAAATGTGATTCGTGAAGAAAGAAAGAAAGAAAGAAAGAAAGAAAGGAAAAGAAATAAATAATTAAAATATAAATTACATTATATTATGTATGCAATTTATTATAGTTGTAATGACTTGAATTGTGTAATTATTTATAAGCATAATTTGATGCAATTTTATATTTTTACTTAAAACACTAATGAAAAAAAAACCAAATTCTCAAATATCTATTTATTGAGTTGCGGTAGGGACAAATATATTAGGTCGGATATCCGCCACCAAATTCACGCTCCCCGCTTAGTTACGGGTTAGGTGGTCCAATACAAAATGTCAAATCGCGCACTTTAACCCCCCTCCTTTCTTCTTTTTACGAATCGATTTAATTTTTAAAAAATTTATTTTTATAATCTTCAAACCAATTTATCTCTTATCCTCATTTTTTCTTTTAAAAAGTAAATTATTTATATTATCATAATAATATCTGGTTTTTTCAAAAAAATTTTGAAAGTATAACTTTTTAATATTTTTTAATATCATTGTTAAATCTAATCAAAATATAGAATAATAAAATAACTTGTAATGAAAAAAAAAAGACAAAACTTATTGTTAATTTAGTATAAGCAGTATAGGCTAGTGTTGCTAAAGGGCTAACTCAATATTGTAGCCAGAATAATATTACCTAAGCCTCGAGAGATTTCGATGATATATTTCTAGACCTTTGGTCCTTCTATAAGCAAAATCTTCAGGCTTGCATAATATTTTTCTGGATGAAATATTTGAATTATCTTAAAAATCGGCTCAAAACGAGCCGTTTAACAACACTAGTATAGGCACCGTAGGGACCAAGTATTTTTATCAAGTTGAAGTTAGTTGTCAAATTTTTACTTTATAAATTAGTTATTAAATAGGATTTTAAGAAATTTGTTAAAAATTAGGGAAGTATATCGGTGACTAACTAGACTGAAGATTCATTCATAAATAATGCATTTGAAAACATCGCTGAAATGCAAATCAGGTGGACCCGCCATTTTTGTAACCCGTATAGTAATTATTCTCATGTTGAAAAACTAAACTACTAATAAATTGATAACCTTGCTTCCTTATTATCTCGATGATCAATTCTTTAATAAAGTTTGAGTCTCAGGCAATTCTTTAATAAAGTTTGCGTCAGACATAGGAATAAATTGGCCCCTCGTTTAAAAATTTTTTTTGGATAATGATATGGGTAATCAAAATGGCGTCCTCAGCTGTTTTTCATTGATGGCATCGTCAGTCTAGGTATTATCACATGTCTTTGGGAGTTATATGAATTATCAAAGATTTCGTGTATGATATATAAAACTATAAAAAAAAATTTTTTTAAAAAATTGAATGTTGTGATTTTGTTCGAGCTAAAAATTCGTAAAACATATGGATGGATGATGATAAGTTATTAGGTAATAAACCAGATTGATTATATTTTTTTTAAACGTCGCGACATATTATACCTTCTTATTTTTTGATGAAATGTAATGCGTTACGAAAAATGTTTATTTGATTTTATGTTTATTATTGCATACGTTGTTTTAGATACAGTTTGTCCATTCAGATTCAAACGACTGACCTAGGACTAGATATGTAGACATGTTCATCTTTGATTTTGGTATTGGGCACTGTTCGGAGACGTAGTCATTCCTTATTTATAGGAAACTTGTGTGTGTTTTAAAACAACTCACCCGTGAAATATATAAATTTAATATTATACACTAATTTATATATATATATTCTTAAAAAAAACAAATATTTATATTTTGGTAGGTGAATTAGTTATTACTCCTCCGGGGAGTGAGGAATCGATGCTCTAATTATTTAAATATATAATTGATCGATAATTTATGAAATAGAATATTTATATCAACGAATCAAAGCGCGACAAATAAATTTTGTGGAGAGAATTTTGATGATGCAATATTTGCATTTTAGTACTCTTTATTAATTAAATATAAAAACCTATATTTTTTTAAAAAAATAAAAATAAAAATTAAATTAAACAATTATAATAGAAGATAAGGGAATTATAATTTTATAAAACATTGGTGTATAAGAGAAATTTTGTTTGTTTTAAAATAAGTAAAATACGAATTACTTCCCTAAAGGAATAAAAGATGAAAAGATAAATTAAAAAACCACACATATAAACAATATTCAGGAGCGATGTATACTGGTGTTGTTAAACGGCCCGATTAAAGAGATTTTGGCTAAAATAATATTGTGTTTAGCATCGAGATTTGGCGAATAGAGATGATCCGAGCATTTCTGCCAGCTATGAGCAAAATAAAAAATTTAACATGGCCAAAGGTCTTACAAAAGGTGGACCTAAGGAACGCCAATAAGATTCACGGCGGAACTTCCCTCTTTCCCATAGGAAATACTCCATAATTCTGTTCATAGTAAATCGTTTAGCTTACGAGAGAAAAAAACATCCATCTTTGAGATTGTTGCCTAACGTTTACAACAACACCTTTAATTAAAAAAATATAATGTTACGATTCTGAATTTCCTGATCACTAAATCGAAATGAAATTTTACTAACAATCACCGATAATATAATTAAGTTCATAAAGATGTTGAACCGAGCCTCGAACCCGGAAAAAACAAGTCAAAATATTTGAAACCGCAATTGAACCGTTATGTTATAAATGATAAACCGGTTCCTAAAAGCTTTTATAAAAATTTTATTTGATTTGTTTTAGGCGATGTGTCCAGATCATCGAGAGAAAAAATAAATTAATTCAAAAACTTTATCAAAAAAAAAGTGAAATAATTCTTCCTTTTTTAATAGAAAGATAAAAATATGGCCGAAATATTTTTGTAAAAAATTTTTATTTTTAATTTCGAAAAAAAAAACCATCTTATTCCAGCTAAGATTCCGCCAAAATCTGGTTTAGAATTATCGTTTAAACGCGCGCGTTTTTAGAGGATATAGATTTGTTAAATTTGCTAAATGATTTACTAAACATCTGGGCAAATATATAATCAAAGGGTTGGGCAAGTTTTTTAAAAAAAAGTATCTTAAATGATAAAAACAAAATACCTAAAATGTATTTAAAATACAAATAACTTTGACGAATACATTTTGCATATTCAATTTTTCTATCAATTTTATTAAAACTTTAAATAATATTTTTAATTCTTAATAACCACTAAATAATATATTTATCGTTTGGAACATCATACATCACATAAATTATGTAATATAATTGCAAAATATAATTAAATATCAACCATCCTAATAAGCTTACATTTATATGATTTTGGTTTCATTTCTAGTTTGAGTATAGATATTACATTTAACTTTCATTTTTTATTATTGATTTTTGACGATATTTTTTTGACAAAAAATTTCCACCCCAAATATGTTTAACTTTAAATTACATTTTAATGGATGTTGACACTGCCATGGAATTCCCGCCAAAAATGTCTAATTGACATTAAGCGTTTAATGTAGAAACCTTATTTTTTCAATTCCTAGATCTTCTTCCTCATCTTCAAAAAAAAATCTTGCATTTTCGTTCGGGCTTTTCCGGCTTAATTTAAAATGAAAGACGTTATTTTTTTTTCGCTATCTCGGGTGACAAATTTAATGTTTCAAATAATTAAATGTTGGACATACATTTTATTTTAACAAAAAAAATAATTACAAAAGTATTTATTTTTTTGTAATCGTCTGAAAAATAGTTGAAATCGGTAATAATTACAAAATACTTTATAAAAGTATTTGTAATTTAGTATTTTAAATACAAGTACACCCCTGATTGCCCAATCCTGAATAAGAGACCCCAGAGAGATCAAATTCATATATCCGGTCAATTCTCAAATTTTTTTTTTTTTAGCCCGATCTGGGTTTTTTTTTCCTGATTAATACAAAATATTTTTGATCATTAATTATTCATATATTATTTTGATCTTAGAATTGAAATTCAAGATTACAAATGTTATATATTAATAATCCTTCAAACTAAAATAAAATAAAGAAAATAATCAAATTTTTCAAACCTTCAACTGAAAATATATAATATATTTAATTTATTATAATTATTATACTATTGCTCCTCAAGATAAATCAAATATCATATTTTAATTATCTTTTTTATATAAATTGGTTTGTTTTGTGTATCATAAAAATTTTCTTTCCCGCCCGCCCTCTTCTTATCTCTTAATTTAATTTAATTTTTTATTTTTTTTTGATATTTCTTGATATAAAATGGAAGTCGTTTTATTTTGTAACTAGTTTGACAGATTATTTTTGTGTTTTTTAAGACAAAGGAATTTAAAGATGAAAATCTTAAGAAACAAAAAGAAAATTCTTCCTTTTCGCAAAAAAAAAAGATTAATTATGAATGACTTTTGAAAACAACAACATATAGGAATGGAGAATAATCAAATATTGTTCGAAATTATTCATTCATACACTTTTAATTTTTAAATTATTTTTATTTTGGATCCATTTTTTTTGTCGACTTCCTGTTGACCTTTATCTTGGATGAGGGGGAATGGAATTCAATAAACGAATTTTTTTTTGTGAATGAACACCGGGAAATTAAAACCGAACTCACCACTAAAATTGTTAAACCGGTTTTAACCGTTAACATTTATCGTTATAAAAATTTGGTCACCCGAACCTGCACCGAACCTTCCAAAGAGGTCTCTATGAACAGGTTCGAATCTTTTATTAATAACCTATTCCTAACCCTTTCTAAAGATTGATAATAATTTTTGATTGATCGGTGACCTTTATCACGGCGAAATGTTGGAAGTGGCAGCTTATCGGAATCGTAAGAGTGACAGGTTGAAGAATTGATAGAATTATGATTAACTTTAAGAGTACTCCCACTCCGATTTACATTTGCATAATTTTGTTTTAAAATGGATGAAAATAATTAGATTTAATGAAATTTAAAACCATGAATCAAAGGAATTCAAGCCTAGATCTTTAAAGTTACCACAATTATAGATCTACAGCTGTAAAAAAAAGCCTCGAAAAATAATTATTTATATATATATTATAAAATATGTTTTTTTAAAGCATATGTTTCAAGAACAATGGAGTTGTTTTTTTATTACTAAAATCTGTCAACGTTTTCAAAAATACTGGATGTAACATGCAAACATTTATCTCCTACCTCCTTAGATGTTCACCGTTTCCCTTTGGAAGGTGTTCAAAACAAATGACACCTACTCTCCTCCCCCCCACCCCATCTCATGTTGAAACTGCAACCAATAAAAGAAAAATACACGTACGCTTCTATCAAAACAATACTACATCCAACACGAGAGGGAAATATTAATAAAATTGTAACTGTTTCTCTGATTTTATCTTTATTTAAGCTTCTAAAAATTCAAGTGTTTCATTTTTCTTTAGACTTAAAGTTATCGAACACATTTTAGATATGTGGCCACAAAACAGATATATGAAGATAAATTAACTATCAAGTGCAAAAGAGACTAAATTTCGAAAGATTTACTAAGATGGCCAAATCCAATGACGTTAAATCTTAAATTTTATTATAACGATAATCTCTAATGGCAAGTAAACAATAAAGACGACATCGCAAAATCGAACTAACGGTAACCATTTTTTTTTATTTCGCGTTTATCCTAAGGTTTACTCTAAAATTTATCTGGCTTTATAATTTTTAAGGTAAACACCTATTGGTCAGCCCATCAAAGCACGTGATGGCTAAGATGAAATTGGTATAAACTAGAGTGAGTAATATTTAAGTTGTCATAACCTTTGTATGAGGGGTTGCCTGCGTCAGATGGCGTCCTTATATAGACGGTAGTGACTGTTTTTTTTTACCTGAATAAAATTATATTTTCGTTGACATTCCTGACCTAACCCTTATAGTGTGCGTTGATTTTATTATACATTCTTAAAATTTTATAATTGCAATAAGCAATTTTTGTAAGCGAAATATTAGTTTCTATTTTTAGACCAGTCACCCCCCCCCCATACATTTGAAGTTTTAGGTTGTTACCCTGCATTCAGAGATAACGCGACGATATTCGCTGCGAAATTATACAAAAATTAATGTAAAATTATGTTACACCGCTGGAATGCAATATAACTATGAACCCAAACCTAATCGAGATAAGGTTCGGATTTCCGATATGAATAGAGCGAAGAACAAAAAATGTCGCATCTCACGTGATCAACTGGTTTAAAACAATTTTTTTTAATAAAACGTCCGCATACAACACCTTCGGAAGAATCTAATCTCGCTAATCCGATCCCACACCCAAGAATAATTTGTCCAAAGTTGATTTAGAAGAAAATTATAAAACTATACTCCCCTTGGAAAATTTGTTCTTTTTTTGCGGTTTATACCAGTCTACAAAACGACTTAATTAATTTTATTTTGTCGAAAAATTAAATTAAAAATACATTTTTATTGTTTAGTAATGGAAATAATATAGATATTTTTGGAAATCTGCCAAAATATATTTTAATTTTCATCTCTATTCAAAAAATAAAAAATTGTAAAGAATTTGTAAAATCGTTTGTTTTTTTTTTAAAAAAAATTAAAATAAAGTACACCAACAATTTGAAATTTGATAGTAAATTGTTCTTATTGTTTATATTATAAAATTTAAGTTTTTAAATTTAAAATTTAATTTTTTTTTATAAAATGATATCATCAAAATTAATCAATTCAATTCTACCTGTTAAAAATAAATAAAATAAATAATTAGAAATATCGGCAAATTTAAAAGGGCAAAACAAATATTGATTGATTTTTTTAAATTTTTATAAATTTTAATCTATTTTTATTTTTTGATCATATTTAAAATAAATAAAATAAATTTACGATATTATTTTACTACTATATTTACTATAAAAAATTATCGTAAACACGTGGGGTATAATAAATTAAATAAAAATCAATAAAAAGAAACATTATTAATAAATAAAATAAATAATTAATAAATAAAATTTAAAAAAATCAATAAAAATGAAACATTATTAAATAAATAAATTAATTTTTATATATAAAATATAAAAAAGTGTACCATTTTCCATTTTATATTATTTTTGCGTTATTTTAAAAAAAGCGGTTCATCAATATCAATATATATTTTCTGCGAAGCTAAAAAAAATAAATATATATCACGTTAGGAATTTTCCGAGATTCTAATTATTCGAAACTACTATTGGTAAAAATATTTTTTATTACCAATAAGTTGGTTTAGTTTAGTAGGGTATGTAGATTGATGGTAGAAGGATTGTGAGTTATTATTGTGATGTCCTAAATTTATTCTAATTTATCATATCTAATTTAAAATTACATTTTTTTACATAAAAATTGGGACCACTTTAGATTGTATATTTATTATTCATAACCATAAACCAGTATTTGGGACACGGGGAAGAATTTTGAAACCATTTTGTTTTTTGAAAATTAAATGAGGGGAAAAAAAGTTAGTATTCTACAAATTATCATATTTGAAATATAATATTAAATCATTATATTAGTATAAAAAAAATTGGCAGTCGATTTTAAAAAATATAACCTTGTTTCCATTTTTGTTTGTTTGGGTGATGAAATTATATTGCCTTATTCATTTGAGATGAACTTTAGCAGCATTGATAATGAATTTTATGGGACATGTTATCTAACTATTTTATAAGAGTATATAATAATTGTCATTGGTTCATCCCCAAAAAAAACAAGGTTATTTGATGACAAAATCTTTAAAAATGGCGGATTTTTCCAATAAATTAAAGTGTATGAATGAAGGCGGTTAAAGTTAAACCCTCCTTTTATCTATTTTTTTAATATAAAATGATTGTGTTTAATATTTATTTATCTGCTGCCATCTTTTTATTTAGATTTTGTTTATATAAATTTTTATTTTTTTAAATTTTACGAAAAACTCCATATTGATTTTACATCATAATCGGCGCCCATCTTTATTTCGATTCAAATCATCCTTGGAACGACCAATCCCATTTTTGTATAAAATAAATTTATTCTAATATATTTTTTATTTTTGGAAAACTACCCTATTATTGCGACTGGTAAAATAATTGGCAATTATTTATTAAAAATCAATTATAAATTAAGATTTAAATGATGTATTGTGATCACAAGTTTTTTTTTGACAATCGAGATTTTAAATCTTAAGTAGGAAAAGAAATCATTCGAAACTTATAATTTTCGATTTTACCATTCACAAAAATTGGCAATGTAAAATATCCTTTTTTTAAAATCTATTTCTATTTTTAAAAAAATATTTTGATGAAAAACATAAAGTTTATTGGTTTATTGATTATTTTTTTTTTCAATATTTTTACAAAATATTAATAAATGGGATTGATGGAATTTACATATTTTCTTTTCAATGATTTGCATAAAATAATTAATTTTTTTTTTAAATACAAAATATAAAAATCTTGCGGAAATGAAAAAAAAAGTTTCGAGATTCTTAAAAAAGTTTTAAAAAAACGGCAAATAACGAGGCAATGTGCTCAACCCACGCTCACTGCAACGCCTTCAATTCGTGTCTATATGATGATCCAGTGACTCCCATGAACCCGATGATCCACCACAATTATTCTCTCGTCAACTTACTCGCTTCCGCCAACAATCCTAGAAACGCGAACCATAACGATGGCGACGTTTACGACTATGCTTACCGAAACAAATATTTTACGGTTCATAGCCTGTCCATGTTCTTGATGGCCAACGGCAGTACTAATTACCAAACTTACGGTAACCCTAAACCGCCAAGAAAACCGGTTAGTAATAACCTAAAAACGCTTTTCGAAACGAGGTCAGACAATAAACAACCCGCTTTTGTCAATAACGATATCAGCGTTGTGACCGATGATCACATTCTGAACAGTGTTACTTCCGGGAAATCGATCATTTCCCCTAACAGTAGGTTCAGGGTGAAGCCCATACCCGTCAAATGTACCGATACGTTTAAAAGACACAATTCATGGAAGGATACCATAAAAGCCGATATAAAAAATATTTTCCGAAATGATAACAATAACACCACCCCGCTTACCGATATATTGAACGATTCTCAGTTCGTAAACCGTGATACAAAACCAAATCCGGTACCACCTTTCCCGGATATTCGAACGACAATCCTATTACCCAATAGTATCGAACCCGCGGATGATGGTCCTATAAAATTCCCCGTCTCGCTACCACATGAATCCGATAAAATTGACGCTAAAGAAAATGAAATCGTTTCGAACTTTAGTGCTTCCAATATTTGTTACCGCAATGCCCGACCGGATGAAATCGTGCCTATATGTCATTGGAGAGCCCAAGAATTCGGTTACGGATCTCACTGGGACTATTTATCCACATTGTACAAATGTTATCCAGATGGCTGGTTCGTGGCCGTAGATCCAAATGGACAAATTATTGGTTCAATTATAATATTTATAGTGGAATTTTTTTAAGCATGAATGAACGTATCCCGTTTAATATGATCTTTGGACATTATTTCATTTTTTTTTTCATTATTAGGTAACATATTTGCCATGAATTTGGACGACGATGTGGCCTTCGGCGGTTTGTTTTCGGTGAAGAAACCCTACAGATGTAAAGGGGTTGGCGGTAATCTCTGGGAAAAGCGTAAGCTATTCGTCGGTCATAGAAATTTGGGCGTTAACGCTGTAGAATCTAGAATCGAGCCAAATAAAAGGGTGGGCATGCTCGTAGCCTTCAAAAGTAGAATCATTTTATTATTTTTTAAGCCTTCCCCCTTTCTTTACACATGCCTTAATTTATGGTAATTAATAATTTCTAAGTAAGACTGCACTGCACCGATATCGAACTATTAAGATGAGAATGTCTGATCGGCCAATGTGTCCATGAATCTGATTAAAATCTTTTACAAAATAATAATAAAATAGGGTATGTTGGTATTTCGGGTCTAATTTATAATATTGCTACAATAAACTGTTCAATAATATAATAAATTTATTTATAAATACTAAGGCTGTGCCGATATTAAATATCGGATTGGGCCGATACCTGTAAAAAACCGATCCGATCTTCTTTCTTTTTTTTTTGCTATTTTTAAAAATCTGGGCCGGGCCATGCAATTTGTACCTCTGCATGTCTCTGGATTAGATAAATCAATCAATGAATGGCATATAAGATATAACACAACCTAGACGGACGGTTTATTTATTTAAATATGTAACAATTAACGGTTTATTCATTTGAATGTGTATCAAATATAAATCATCCGATGGTCTAATATTGGTTTTATATTAAAATTTAAACTTTAATAAAAATTTAAATGAGAGTTTTTTTTATTGGTTTGCAAAAATTCTTGCACACCTGTTACTAATATCATTTATATTAGTAGGCTGGGCTTGGGCCTAAAATTTTAAAATTTTGTTTATTTAAAACAGTTGCTAACTTAAAGAAATAATGCCCCCCCCCCCTTCTTTTTTTTACTTCTAAGAAAGAAATTTCAGTATTGTAAACAAAATGATTGCCTAAATACACTTAAATGTTGTTTATTTTTATTAAATAAATAGAATTTTTTTAAATATGGGTTTGGACCGGGAAGCTTTTTGAAACTTTTTATGGGCTTGGGTTCGGTTTGGAAATTTTTTTTAAATATTATAACAGAGATTTTTTTTTTACTATGGGCCCAAAAAATGAAGGTCTCTGATGCTACCAACTGATTTAAATTTGACGACACTTAAAATGCATTTAAATAAATGAATCTTCACTCTAGGTAATTAACGGATCATACTTATCTTCTATTCATATTTTTTTACAATAAAACTCACAAGTTGCCAGATACCGGGCCATAATGCGAGCTGGTACATTGGATAAAATTGTTTCTTCCATCCTTCTCCACGACTCCGACAATCCGATTCTCGCCAATGTAACTTTATCGATCCGTCGTCCTCATCAAAATCAATTCGATCCTCTTAATAACTCTTTATTCAATATGATCAATAATTATGACTCCAAGATTAATAAAGTGAGCCGCACGGCCTTTATAACGAGTTTGATTGAATCCCAAGGAACCTCAACTATAGTGGCCACGGAACAAGGGGGAAATGGCGAGGAAACACTCCTAGGATTCGGCGTTTTGAGACCGAGGTACAACGGCTTTACCATAGGCCCTTTGTATGCCAAGAGTCCGCTCATAGGCAAAGCTTTATGCTTAGAGTTAATGTCACAGGTGCCAGTTTCCAGCATATTCGATTTCATGATCATTGAAAATTGTGATGAAGATAATGGTTCCCTTGTTTCTACTCAGGGCATGAGAGAAATCATAAAAGATTTAGATCTACAAAGAGAATGCACCCTTTATAGAATGTACACCAAGGGAAATGTGGTTCTACCTTTATCAGAGGTCTATTGTATCACGAGTTCGGAGGCTTTCTTATGCTAAAGTGATTTCCTATTCTGCCAAAATTATTAAATCATACGTCAGATTATATTTGTAAAATTTATTTATTGTTTAGTTAAATAAAATAGCCAAAAAATGGAAAAATATTTGCCAATTATTTATCAAATATAAGAATGTATTGTTAAATTAAATATTAGGCCTGGTTCTTTTGCCTTGTGCTTAAAAAGCTTTTAACGGCAAATAAAAAGATTGGAACTTTTAAGATTGCAAACGTTTTAAAGGCCGCGTTAAAGATAGTGGGCGATCAGGCCTTATATTTGTTTTATTTCATTTTCAAACTAAATCAAGTTGCTATCCCGTATAAATTAGAATTGTATCAAATAGTCAAAACAATTTTTTTTATACTATTAATAATAGTTTATGTATTATATTTAGAAATTTATATTGATTTAATATTTCGACAAATAGATAATAAAATTGAATATAATATAAAGTTTTAAAAAAAATTATTGAATGTTTTAGAGAAAAATATTTTTTTTTATCCTAGAGAATGAATGTGTTAGTAATTGTGTGAGTATTAGAGATCTGCCAAGCTTGCCAGGGCAAATTTTGACAATTTATAATGGACAGAGAAATTCATACGTAAAAAATGGAACCCGATCTCGTAAATTTTCGTAAAATATTGATGGGCTAACCCTGGATATAAAAATCGCGAATCTCGTCGTAAAATATTAATGAGCTGCTAAACATTAAAATCTATGAATAAAATGTAGATTCGCGAGAAAAAAAATTAAAAGAGTTATTAGTGATATGTTCCCATTACAAATAGGCAATGCGGCAGGGGGGGGGGGCATCGTTAACTTTTTACAAAAGGGGCGGTGCTAATTTTTTTTTCAATATAAAAATTTTATTAACTTTACTTACAAATACACCCCTTGCATCCTTTTAACTGGGATTTGGTTTGATATAATCAGAATTTGCGTGTTCCAAAAGCTTGGCTCATAACTCCGTTTATTTTATTTTTTTTTTGTGTGGTTCTCAAAATTTATTGAGGAATTAACAAGTACTAGCTAGGCAATAAATTTTTAGATCCATATGTTTGTCTTTCTAATGATTGCCAATTTAATTCTTATTTTGCAAATAACTTTTAAACAATTTTTTTTCCTTTGGCAACTACTATACTGGTTAAAGCATTCATAGGAACTAATATAGCGCGTAACATTAACATAGAGATTTTAGAATTAGTGCATCCAATTATTCAGTCAACCTGAACGGAGATGGTGCCCTCCTCAAGAATAAATCCTAGTTACGATCATTGTAGGCAAATAACGATAGGATCTATCGCCTAACCGAAAATCTATTTTTCAATGTCCCATTATTTTCTCTTGTGATCTGCATCTGGCCTAATCCTTTAACTCTAGTCCGGCCATAAAAATTTTTACCGATCCCTTACGAATTTATCAATATATAATTATCGTAATTAATATTAAGATTAGAAATTCAGTGTATTTACAGAACAATAATTAATTAGTTAAATTTGAAAAAAAAAGAATATACTATGTTATGTTATGAGAAGGAAATTTGAAAGAAAAAAAGAGGGGAATTTGTAATTTTATGAGGGAGAATACTAATTATAAGAGCAATCGAATTAATTAAACAAACAACACTTGCCTTGAGTATGGCTATTGCTATTCTTTGTCTTAAATGAAAGCCATCACCAGGCTTCCATAATTTTTTTTTTCTGTTGACATCCGACTTCTTTAAAAAAATTATTTCTTAGCCAAATCACTATGTTTTTAACGTAAAGCAGGATTACTAGTACGAAAAAATAATTCGACGAATCAGCAATGTATTTTGGTAATCTTTAAATTTTGCTCCCTGTTCATTATGTTTTTGTTGATATTAGATGGAAAGCAAGTGTCTGCAGTAAAAATCCAATATTAAATATTTGCCTTGTAGCCCTGGAATTCGTGTCGGGAAAGAGGGTTCCAATGAAATGGTGCAACAGATATGGCTTGATTAAATTTCGCGTGCCGGGTACGATTATATCCTTCCTTCATTTTTATTCGGGTCTCGTAGTATTTCATTAGATGCTATTTCTTTAAAAATATAAGAGTTCGAATTGTAGAATTTAATGACTCCTCTCGGAAAACAAAATTTAACGAAGTAAGTTTTAAAATCAAAAATTTTATATTGGAATCGTATTTAATTCCGCCATAATTCCTTTTTTATTTTATGTCATTACAAGGCTGAGATTGATGCACCATAGATGTAAGGGGCCACTAGTGTTGTTAAAAACCCGGATCCGTGTCGATTTTAAAAAACGACCGGATTAAGATTATAAAGAAAATATTGTGTAAGCCTAAAAATTTTGCTCATAGCTGACAGAAATGCTTGGACACCTATTTACCAAATTAATATTATTTTAGTTAAAATCATAATCGGGAATTTTTGAAAAATCTACCCAAATTAGGCTTTTTAACAACACTAGGAGACACAAACAATTATAATTTATATATATGTGTTAGCAGGAATGTGTTATTTTTTCAACTATAAATCATTTTTAGGCGTGTTTTATTTAAATGATTTTACCAAAAATGTATCACATCATGTTTTGGAATACCTACCTTATAAATTTCAGACAATTTGGACATAAATTTATAAACTTAATACAATTTATAATCGTTTTCCCATATATTTCTTATATATAATTTATAAATGACTCAAAGGTTAAAGGCAAAATTGTCTACACAATTAGTAAGATAGGTAAAACAAACACATTGCCTCTAACATATATATATAATATATTCGATATTAAAATATCGTTTTACAAATATCTGCTTCAATAAAGACAATTTATTTAGTATTTAATTATATTTACATAATAGATTTTCATTTTTTTCAAATTTTATACCCCACAATAGATGAATTATGATGCCGAGGGTCATATAAATAAATAAAATTTTATTTTAATTATAAAAGAAAATATTCCGCAAACGAAAAAATATTGGCGCCTTGTCTTTTGCAAAAAAAAGGTTAAAATATATCTATTTTATTGCACAAAATTGAATCATATTTTATTTCAAGACAAAGCCTATGTTTGCGGGCTCTAATTTAATTTTAACTCTCGCTACCAAATTATAAGTCTAAGTCCTAGAAATACCAGAAAGATTTATTGTCTCTGTGTTATATTCTATTAATTGACGGAATGCATGTGCATAATCTGTTGTTGACCAAACTAGCTTTTCCTTAGTGTTGTAATTGGCTAAACCGAGTAGACTCGAATAGAGCTAACCCAAATTTACAGTCGTTTTTTTATCGACTCTTTGGGTCGTTTTAAAGACGGCCAGTTCGCCTTTTTCCACCCCACTCAATATCTCGGTAAATTTTTTTTCAACCGTAAGCTGACTAGGGTTGACTCCAATAAATATAATTAATAAATAACATTTAGCTACTATTAATATTCTGGGTGGGAAAGTCAACTAAAGCTTCTTTTAATTTTATGGCTGACTCATTATATAATCCTATTAATGGGAGGATCTAAATCTTGAGGGGTCAAATAAAAATTTCAGTGAAAATGAACCATATAAGAGTGGCAATTATTGACATAATCGTTATTTATTTTTTATAACCCTTTTGAATATTTTTTCTGACCTAAAGGTGTAAAAATATAAATTGTAAATATGTTATATCAAAATTTCAGTTAAGATGAACCATGACAATTGTCATTAGTGTTGTTACACGGCTCGATTTGTGCCGATTTTTAAAAACGGCTAACTCAACATTATAGCCAGGAAAATATTGCCTAAGTATCGAGATCTTGCCAATAGATGTTCAATCCTATGTGCCATCTATTAGCAAAATCTTTAAGCTTGCATAATAATTTTCTGGGTAAATATTGAGTTAGCCGTTTAACAACACTAATTGTCATAATCGTTTTAAACCTTTTTTGAATTATTTGGAAGAAATTGGGTAAAAATACAAATTGTAAACTAGTTGAATTAAAATTTCAACGAAGATGTACCATAGAAAAGTAACAATTGCCATCATCATTATTTTTAAAAAGTTTATTAGATCAAATGGGTAAAAATATTTCTATTTGTAAAACATGTTAAATTAAAATCTCAAGCGCAGATAAGCTATAGAAAAATGACGAATATTTCAGTTTCTCCGCCATTACCTCAGTGGAAGAGTCTTCATTAATGCGATCCTATTATATAAACACTTGTTCAAAATCGTAATTCTTATTTTATATTCATTAAGGGTTTAAAGTTAATCACATTTTCAATTTTAATGTGGTAGTAAACTTAAATAAATTCATTTTAAACTGAAAAATCGAGCAGTAACATTTAGTTATAAAAAGAGAATTTTTCCAAAATGTCTTAACAAAATTAATCATAGTTTACAAAATTATTTTAATTACAGATATCAAGTTTCAAAGGTCATTTAATATGCCAAAGTTTCCACGGAATTCATATTAAAACAAGAGTTTTCAACGAGAAACCCATCCCATACTATGCTCAAAATCTTAAAATCTTTTATACATTTATATATTTTAAATATTATTTATTTAAATTTATTATAAAAAATAATATATTCAACAATATATAATGCATATAAAATTTTTTATACAATATTGGTTATTCATAATATTGGTGTTCTATGAATTTAAAACATAAAAATTGTTTAAGCGTTTCCGTGATCATACGATTTCTTTTCTTTGGACAAAAAACGCGTTCGCTTGCAATAGATGTGCTCTGTTGCCATAGAAAACTTAGTCTTTATAGAAAGGTAAGGAGACGTATAGAATTACTTTTCCAACAATCCAACATTGTAACTGAGGCTGAGGCGATTGGATCAGCTAGGTATTCAGCGATTTCATCTACCATCGAAACTAAAGATGCTAAAATAAAAATATATACTTTATGAGAACATTTAAAGACAATTAAAAAAATTTATAAAATTAATAGATTTTTTCTGAGAACGCTTATAGTTTGTAGACATTAATTCTAAATTGTCAACTTCCACTCGTATTTCGGCCGATTCATTAGAAACGATATTTTTCTCAAAAATCTTTATTAATGGATATATGTAGGAAAGTATTCTTAATCCCTGGATCTAGTCCATGGCGTATTGCCTTTATAATAACAGCATTAGGATGTGATTCGATATTTCTTTTTACTAGCAATGTTTGTATGGTATCAAGATATAATACCATACATACCCTTGATTGATGAGTTGTTGGCACTGATTTCACAGGTTATTTTATAAAAATGATTATCGGAATTCTACAATATCTTTTAAAAAATTTGGTTTCCTCAATATTAAATGTAAATTTTTTTCATTAATTTATAGAATGCCCAATTTTATTATGGTCTATGTGTTGTATCAAATTAAACAAATTTATATAATACAATCATTAGTTGGAATCATTTTTATATTAATATTTCGGAAACAACAATTTATCTC